GCAGACTTCGTTCCAGACAAACTTCTAGAAGATTTCAATGCGAAGAAATAAACTGGACTATACGTAATTTTTTTTGATAATTAGATAAGATTAATACGGTATTTTACCTTCGGTAATATAATTAATCTTAGGAGGGAGGTGTGTCACGAACCCTCCTTTGTACGTTCCTTTTACCCCCTTAGGCCCGTCTCCACAGCTTGCTTACATTTTCCCCGTAGACCCATTCATTTTAGGATCTTCTGTTTTGCATATCATTATCGTAGGCTACCCCTGGCACGCACGTAAGCAAGTCTGCGTCACATCCCCTCTCTTTGTTTTGTTTACAGGTGCGGGATTTTCCCAGGATTGTTAGACCGTAATGCCTAGTTTAGTCATCGTTGTTTATTTCGTTTTCCTTGTATCACAGGTATCATTTACGTATGTTTTTATTTAGTTTAGCGTCATTAAGCTTGTTTTAGCATACCTATTCAGCCCTTCCCTTCCTTTCCCATGTTTTCACGTCGTACTTTTTATGTACTTCATGTCGTTAATGAAACTTGCTCATTATTTTCTAAATATAGATCCTCTTGCTTTAAAGTATATATACAGCATGTAAAGTTTGAATAGGAGGATGAGTTGAAGTGGCTCAAAGAAGTACGTGAACTTTCTGTGTTTGTGCTATCTTGGTTATACCTTTAGTCTTTAAGGACTACTGTTAGGATAACTTAAGTCTCGGTGTGTGACACCTGATTGAAAAAAAATTACCTGAAATTCTTTAGTTGCTGACACATTATGTTGATTCACAACATCTGTTTGCAACATCATGTCAGACCTTCCAACCCTTTAGATCTATATAACGGAACAAGCCCAGGATAAAACTATGCTATCAGAAGGAAAAAACTTTCGAATTTTGATGCTTCTAGTTTGCTGGAAAATACACTTTTAAAGCAATTTTCAATAATGCAAGCTTTCTCTTAAATAAATATCTACAGACTGAAAGCTATTTGATGGTTTTAATCAACTTTCTGGTGTCATTGTTTAAATGTTTTGGCTTATGTAACATAATTTTCTTCAGATTGGGACATAATCTCTCAGCATTTTCTTCCAGTAATTTCTTATCATTTCAGTAAATCAAAACTCCTTGCACCCTCCCAATAGCTTAATGTAATAGTGCCTAATCTGAACTTTTACCGCCAAGCCCAAGATTATCGGCGGGTTCCTAAAAAATACCCCGCAACTTCTACCTCGTTACGCCCCTCGTATCTACTTTGTGCAAAAATTAGCGTGAGATCTTGAGTTGGTGTTTGACGATCGTTGTTAAGCGCGTCAAAGTTTGTAAAAAAGACGAGGTGGTATGTTGCAAGGTAATTCTTGTTCTCTTTACAGTTTCCGCCTTCAGAATTGTTTGGTTCTTTTATATAAATTGTCTTCGATTGCTAGCTTTTTGGCTAGGGCGCCTCCGCCCATTCAAGGTGAAAATTCATTTTGGCGCCCCTGATATTTGATCGGTAGGTGGGGGGGGGCAACTGCCCCCTTGCCCCCTGCCAGTACGCCACTGCACAGCACTGATGGGGCACACAGACATACTTTGAAGACACTCTGTGTTTAGTGTGTCCGGGCTTATGCCTCTTCCCCTTCCAGGGAAAATTTTGAATTTCGATTCTCTTTGGCTCTGCTAGCCTCTAGAGACCTTTATATTCGGTTGTTTATCTGCTTCATCCTAGATTAGTCCATCTGTTATTTCAAGTCACTTCCACGAACATACAGTTTTAGGTGCACAAGATAGCAAGAAATAGAGCTAAAAATGCATTCAAAGCAAAAAGATAATGAAACAAGCTCTTATTATGCTTCTTCAAAAGCCTCTGTTGCTTTTTGTAAGGATAAGCAAGGGATGCCAGATTCCACTTCCCATTCATGTGCCATTTCTAAAACAAGATAGATTTATATCAAATTCTGATTGTAGTGCCTAATTCATGACGACATTTCTCAAAACTTGCAAAAATAGCCAATGTTCAAGATACCTACTTGAAAAGCACCCACACATGGCTAAAACTCCTCGTTTTTGAGATAAAACCTTGTTAAAAATTGCATTTTGCAGAAGCTCAGCCTCAGCTTATTTTTGATTTGTTCTTAACTTTTGACGAATTTTGAGGCTCGTGTTCTTAAAAAATTGTTTCTGTTAAAAGAAAAAGTCTAACCGTTACTAGCAACTTTCTTTATGAGAAACTAGAATCCTCCACTAGGACCGACTCTTTATATTATTTTTTACTCCATCGGCCTCTAATTTGCCCCCTAACTGTTAGTTGTGTTAAATGTATCAGGCCCGTCGGAACCAGGGTCTGAGGGGCTGGAGACCCCCATGATTGCCAAACTGTAGTATTCCTTTATAACAGTGTACTGAATGAGAAGTAATACAACGGGCAGCCCCCTTCCCAAATATGAATTTCGTTCCGACGGCACTGTGTTTGTTTTGAGCTTGTTTAGTTGCCCAAAGTCACGGGCTCCGACGCTGGCTGGAAAGTGGGGGAGGGGGGCAAGGGAGATTTTAAAAATCATAACAAATGATTTTCAAAAAAGTTCTATTGTATGGTCTCCCCCCGACCCCCTTCATCGGAGGCCCTGAAAGTACAAGTTAAGCAAAATATTTATCTAATAAATATGATAAATATTAATTTGGCGCTTTGGATTTTAAACACTGCAAGGTGTCAAATAAACACAACATTTTTCCTTCATTTTTCCACATCGTAGGCTCTGTTGGAATTTTCCCTTAGCATGTTCTTAACACATTTTCATTAAGACTATCTGCTTGAATTGGCTTCGAAGAGACAGTCAATTTCGTACGCGAATCAGTCCAACTTGTCCTGATACCCCCATGAAAATCATTTTATTTGGAACCCTGACAGGGCCGCCAGACGCAGGTTTGAACAGGGGGGGGGGGCCAGAACGAATAAAAAGGGCACGAAAATATTTTTCCGAAACATCAGTAAGTGCCAAAAATGGTACAGATTCATGGTAATTTAGAAATTTATAAAAATAATGACACATGCTGGACATAGTGAGAACTATCTTCGCTGAAAGCAGACATGGCTATTTACTCCAATTAGTGACCACGCACTCTTGATCATAATTATTTGTATAGCTTCCCATCTCATGGCCTTCAAGTTTTTCTGAGAGTGTAAATCTTTCTTCCATCTATGACTTATACCTCTATTACAATAAGCTGTACTTGTTTTCCTTACAATTTGCATTGTAGGTGAATTTGGCCCCGGGTAAGAAGCAGGCACACATCCTTCTTTTATACTTGTGGCAAGCGCATTATACCATACCAACAAATCCAATCCAAAATATGGACTGAATGGAATTTTCGAATTCATACTTCAAAGCCAATTACAGTCCCTTTTCCTTTCAATCAAAGTTTCAGTCTCTATGATTATCGAAAGCCCATTCCAATAATAATTTAAATTTCCTTACTTTCATATACAATTTAGTCCCCCTTGGTATTCGCGCCTTCCCAACGCCACTTGAACACATAAATTAGTTCGCCTCCATGAACAATTTTTTAAAAGCTACAAATTTTATGTTTAAGTAATCTTTAGGCAATAAACTGAAGGTGCGGACACATTGTTCACTGCCATAGAAAATTCAATTTGCAACATTGATTAGGTTCATCTCATCAGTCTTCTGAACGAAACAAGTAACGTATTACATGTGAGTTCCGAAAAACTTTGAGAAAGGGTGGTCTGTAAACTAGAATTCTTGGACATAGAATCTTGAAAATAGGATTGCTTTTTTAATCAGTCAGAGAAAAGACAAAAAGGCAGGAATTATTTTGAAGTACAACAAATTTAGCATCTAGTCTTGTATATTGTTCTTATCCTAGATAAGAAATTTAAGTCTTTGTTTAGAATCCCTTTACTGCTAGCATGTACTCATTGCAGGGACACAACTTTTTCATGTCTTCATAAAAACATCTAACACAATATTGTGAAGTAAGCAATATGTTGCAGTTATAGTTTTACAGCTGTCTGGTTTTGTTAATATACATTAAAAACCATAAGGGATTGTTGTTAAAATCAAATTTAGTGAGCTCTGCTTTTTAACTTGCCTAGACATAAGTTTAAGAAAAGGAATGTTTCTAACATGAATTGGTATAAAAAATTCCTGCTCAAGCTTGAAAAATCTCAGTGAAAAGGGTTTCACAATTTTGGCAAAGTCGCATAATAGGGTACATTTCACTTAAACCAGAATCAGAGATAGGGGTCCAGTTTCTACTTTCAGGAACATAAATGGTAGACATTGCACCAACTGACTGTGCCCGCCAGGGACTTGATGCGGAACTTTCACTAATGCGTTTGTTGCTGAAGACATACTAAGGAAATTTTCTCGCAATAATGGCAGTCTCGTTCGAAGTTGATATTATTCAACACAGGAGCTTGAGTTTTTTGCATCAAGACCAAGTAAAGATTTAAGGAAATTGAGTGAATGGTCCTCCAACAACGCCCAGAGTTATGTTATTTTACTTAGTTTCTTAAGGAAGAATATCTGGTATTGAAAAATACACGCAATTTATTTATCAAAAAGGGGCACTTTTATACTTTTTGCAAACAGGGGGCCTGTGCCCCCGTGGCCCGCTGGCTCCGGCGGCCCTGTCCTGTGCTCACGTGGGGGTCAGTCTATAATTGACAGACAAGGTTAAAAAATATGAGCATTACCAGGCTGCCAATTTTTTCAGGAAAAAACAATAATATTAGTTAGGAAGGGCGCTATTTTGCTGCTGCCCTCCCCCAAGGTGAAAAAGACCAGGCCGCTACTATACCTATACCCTTGGGTGGTGAAAGCTGAACTGAGAATAAATTACCCTGAGCGCCCTCGCCATCACATTTGGATCAGTGATTTGAACAGACAAATCATTCTAGTCAGATCTGAAGAGGAAGAGAGTAATTTAAAAACAGGAAGTGCATTGGTGCGAATTGAGTCGCTTGTCACAGCTTGATATGATTAGAAGAAAGACCCAAAGGCGATGGTCATATTTGACTTCAGATAGCGCAACATCGCTGGAATAGGCAAGGACACAGCCAAAGGAAAACGGTCTGTGTAAGTTGCCAAGTCTTTCGTTCGGGGCGGTTTAGTGTGAAACGCGTACTGCCCCGAGAAAAATGGCTTCTCGCGATATTTTGCAATGGACGGTTCTCATGGCTGTAGCAATTTCCTTTGCATGTGGTGCGCAGTTTGGTCAGGGCACGGATATAGCTGAAGGTTTGTTACAATGAATCCTTGTGTAAAGTTTTGTGAAATGTAGCTAAAATGAGAAATATAAGGGTATTCCGCGACATAAAAAAGCCTGTAAAGTTATGATGTAGCATTCGCTCTAGGATATTTTTGTATTTATTCATCTTTATGAGAGATGTAAGAACAGTGGAGATTGAAGCTCGTGGCAAAAGCCCCTAGGGCATTTAATCAGTTCTGTAAGAACTAGGCCCCAGGACAATCATTGAAATTTCTGAACGGATTTTTCTAATGCTCTCCATCCACTTTTCTCGCATTTTTTCTTAAACATATTATTTTGGCAGAATTGGATTTTGCTATAACCTATGATAGTGCGGTCATCCCCCTGCATCAGCCTTTTAGTGCGCCTCTTTGCCTGCGGTTACAACATAACTCCGGAATTTCACCTAAACTGTTAACAACAACATATTTATAAGGAAAGGAAATCCTTGGTTTTGGTTTTTCAATTTGAAGATGTTTTCTTGAAGACGGTTTTATCATTTATACTCTCGATACAATCAATCCTTGATGGACCAGCTCGCCATCTGAAGATTTCTCTTGGGTTCATATGAAAAGAGCGACACCTGGGTGCAATTGCTTAATTTTATACTAGCACGAGCACAATAGCAAAATCATAAGTTGACACCGATTTTTCCTGAATATGAATGTACTAAGTTGCTTTTGGAGAGATCGTTTGCTTACAGGGTAGTCTGCAGCTGTACTATGGTTTTTGTTTATGCAGCTTTTCCTCGGGCGTTTCTCTGACTCGAGAACGCTGCGTTATTTTGAGGCCTTGAGGTGGCGGAAATATTCATACGTCGAATATATTAACCACAAGTACCCTGCAGGTTTGACCAAGCCCATATCACAGAGCCCATTTCCCGGGGAATCCCTAACACTTCCGATAGCGACGGAATGTTTCGTCGGTAGGCGTCGTGGAAAGTATAAACCCCTTTTCGCATATTATAATGAACTGAAGTTTGATAAAGTATGATATTTTCACAGTAACGGATAGGAGAATTATAAAAATCAGTTAATTTGCTCACGGGCTTACGGGTACAAAGAAAGGCTTCTTCAAACCTCCACTTCTCAATTCGAAGCAACAGCAACAACATTGAATGCCTTGTTTGTTGAATTCTCTCGAAAATGGAGCCGTACGACTTGGAGCCGACGTAATGTTTCTGGAATGGTTCCTTTGTCACATGTGACACATATTCCACTGTAAAAATTAATTTCGAAGGTTGGTCTATTTATCCTGTATTATTTTATCACGAGGGAATAGGCCAAATTATGGTACATCTACATGTATATACATGTTTTTGAAATTGAATAATCATGGACTTGTTACATTTTCTTGTTCAGTCGATTTGTATTCCTTATTTACTACACTTTTTATGGTTAATTGTCACTTTAGTTTAAAAATTTACTGACAGGCAATACTGCAGCAATTAAATCACCTGGAAATAACAATCTATTGCCTTTTTTACCTAACAGTTAATGATAGAAACATAAACTACATGCTCTTGATATTTAAGAGTATTAAAAAAGTGTATGGATATGTAGCCCAAACCTCAGAAAAAATTACTGAAGCTGGCCATAATGTGACAGATGGTACAAAACATTAAGAAAACAAGAGAGGGTACACCTTTTTCAAACACTTCTAGAGAACGCCAATATCACAACAGCCATACTTATTGTTAGCATAGAGCAGAACAGTATTGCTGTTAGTACAACATTCTCCTTATTTGCTAAGCTAAGTGCAATATTTTATAAAGCTTTTAGTAATTGAAAGAGCCTTGACAGAATGTTCAGCCCAATCTTCTTTTCAAGGATATTATAACACTTATGCTTCTCGTATCTATACTCTAGACAGGTGTGCAGAGTTATGTGCACAAATTAAGTGTCTCTGCCTCAGTGTCATAGTTATAAGTCTAACGCTGTAGAAAATAAAAGATCTTGGTGAGATGAACCTTTAGTAAATTGAACATCCAGCCTTGTGTGTATCCTGTAGAATTAACTGGCATTTTCATCAAATTGACTTGAAATGGACCATATATATTTGTTACCAGAATGGAAATATGAAATTAGTAGGAAAATTTGGGATAATAAACTTTGTATTTGTCTCATTATGAAACAATGTGAATTGTCCTGAACTGTTTAATAGAGTGGCCCTAAACCATTTTTAATAAAGAGATCAAGATTGCAACTCTCACGTATAATTTTATATCTCAAATCCAATTGGTAATTAAATTTTTAATACACCAATAATTTACATCGAGTTTCTCACTTTAATCACAATTTCTACTTTATATACTAAATGTTTCGAAAGACTGTAATAACTTTTAACATATATATAGTTTTTGATAAATTTCTTTTCTTCATATGATTGCAATTTTAACTTATGAGAAAAATTGTTGTTAATTTTTGTTAGTTTTACTTCATTTGTTGACTAGCTAGAGCCACCAGAAAAAGCTGCTAAAGGAAAGAAGTATTTAGCTTAATTGTCCTTCAGAAAATGTTTTTCCAAAAACTTAAACTATGTCAATAATGTATCTAGATACTGTGGTATACTTAAAAGTTTTTTGTCATATTGCATCTGCCAGAAGCTAACTAGACTTGAAGCATTCTTATGCCAACATAAACCAATCATTTGCCAGTCAACTAACCAGCCTCATTGAAAAATAAAGCAACTCCTAAAACCTAAAGATGCCAAGAAACTGCTTAAATTACTAAATGTCTTGATAAAAAATCTTTATATGTTTGCATTTTCAAAACTGTACCCATGTGTAAAGTTGATGCAAAGAGCTTAAACAATCTGAAAGAAGAATCAAGGAACAACAGGAGGGTTCCAAAATATAACCTCAAGATATAATGCTTCATCATAATAAGGTAGGAAAATTTTCATAAAAACCAGCTATTGCTGGTTTCCTTTCTTCATTGTTTCGTTTCTTGGGTGCTTCAAGTCTTTTGCAGTCTTCTGCCATCGTTTTAATAGTTTGGTCTAATCATGTACTGCATTTTTGCATGTAACCCCATTGTTTTTAGGAGGATTTACAAAAGAGGGCTCATGTCCATATGTTGACAATCAAGATGAATGCCCTTTTCAGACAAAGCTAGATTTTAGATGCCTTAGAGATTCTGACTGTGAAGGTGAACTGAAGTGCTGTCCTCAAGATTGCAAACTGCAATGTGTTTCTCCTGTTAAAAGTGATAAAGGTGCCAACACACCAAGTAAGAATTAATGTTAAGTTTTCCAGCTTTAGTCAAATACAAGTTTAGTCTGAAATTTTTGAAGTTGCAATTTGTTCATAACATGGCTAGGAAATGCTAAATTGTTTGTGTTATTGATTGTTTGGCTTAAATATGTTTTTATGTATCAATGTTCTAGATTCAATCTATTCTATAACTGAAATCACTTTTGTTACTCTAGTATGTTCTTTGTACAAAACACATGCATTTATTTGTAATATTTCAAGTTATATGTTAATATCTTGAAGTTTCTAAGAGATTTGAAAGAATTGTGATACAGTTTGTTTTGTTTAATTTTGATCCAATTTTTAATTTTTTTAATTGGCCTTATTTTATATTGATATTTCTGCAAAATACCATCCTTTCCTTATTCAAGCCAGCTTTTGTTTAACTTTTTGTTATAGAGTGTGTGGTCCCAGTTGATCTTGCCTTCCTTATTGATGCCTCTGGTAGTATACCAGTTGAAAGTTTTGGTGAAATTCAGAATTTTGTGAAAAAAGTTGTTGATGCATTTGAAATAAGCGAAAGTGGAACACATGTTTCTGCAATCTGGTACTCAGATGAAGCTCAAGTGGCCTTCAACTTCAACACCCTCAAAGGTGGCAACGTTACAAAGGAGAATGTTTTCAAGCTCATTGACTCAATCCCAAAAACTGATGGTAAAACAAGAATTGACATGGCTTTGAGGCTAGCAGCCAGTGATGTATTTAGTGAAAAAGGAGGTACTAGACCAGGAAAGCCTAAGGTATTTATATGCCATGATGTTTTACAAGTTATCCTCCAACTCTGAAAGCCAATAAGCATCAGGTTCCTTTTTGTACCATAAATTATTATATTACGCATGTGAAATTTAGTAATTGTAAATGTTCTTTCAAAGTTTGTAATTGGTTTGCTTCACAAAATAACCTTAAAGAGTGTTCCCACAAACCTATTGCTCCAGCCAAGGAGGTGGCTATTTCCGTTTTACTCTGAAACTTTGTTTTTCAGTTTATTGTCTTTCCAATTATGTTTCAGCCTTTTTTCTTAGTAACACAAAATAATAAAAAAAGTGTTTGAACAATATTACATGCTTATATCTTTTAAGTTATCAAATATTGAAGGTGATAATGTACAATGTCTGACAACAATTCTCTTTCTTTGTAAAATATTAGATACTCCTGGTTATGACTGATGGGAAACAAACACGGGAGCCTGATGTATCTGATGCAGAAGATCTACATGATGCATCAAAGCCTCTGAAAGAAAGGGGTGTGCAGGTCTACTCTCTTGGAATGGGACAGGATTATGACATGGGTGAATTGCTTGATATTGCCTCTGATGATGCAAGTGTATTCAGGGGTGGTCAGATAGATGAATTAGCATCAGCTGTTACAAGAATTACAGAACAGACCTGTAAAGGTAGGTAACAATAACCCATTTTTGCAACTTTTCCAAAGTAAATTCAGAAAGCTTTTTCCAAACTTGATAGCAAATATGCATGATGGAAACATGCTCTTAGCCATTTTGAATTGTCTTCAATTTAGTAGACTTACTCATGCATAATTTGCAGCACCTGTAAAAAGATATAATGTCATCAATGTTTTGAGCATGACATCCCATAACATTTGAAAAGTACATTTAGTTTTTTCATTGTATGGGTTGTTTCTAGTGATCTAATGGTTTTAAGCAGTTTTAGCTTGTTTGTTAGCCTGGGAGCTTGAGCCCCTAAATCCTGAATCTATGCCAGGGGTGACTGTCAGGAAGGGCATTTGACTATCATATAAAAAATGGGTTCAATTGGTTTCGTGCATTTTGTCTCCTGCAATGAGAACGTGGGAACAGTTCAAAGTAATATAGAAATAATTCAGTTGATTTGGTGGAGAGTTATATCTTACACATTTAGAAATACATAATCTTGACGGAAACTGGAAATTTGCAATGTGACCATTCAACGCAATACCTTTTTTGTGTCTTGGTTAACTTCATTTCAATGTGGTGTAAGGAACACAAAGCATCTTTAGTGCTATTTTTTAACAACTTGTCTTCTGTAATATTTTGGTCTTTGTAAATCAACCACATCTCAGATAATCTCATGTTCCTTTTTATGCTGCAAATTCATCAAAGTACATACTGGTGTTTTAGCCCTTTTAACTTTTTATACAATGGAACCATTACCAAAAAGCCATACCTGTAAGGGGGGTTTATTTTTAAGAGTTTTGGTTTTTTTAAGATTTTTTAAGAATGACCTTTCCCAGTTCAACTTTGCTGTTATATCTGCCCAATGCATAGACAGCTCTACAGCAAATAGGGGTTCCAGCTCCAGAATGAGGTATTTGAAAGGAGTAGAAGAAATAAGAAAAAGAACCTTCTTTAGTGTTCAGGAAGTGTTTATTTTACATATTTTTTTTATCGAAAGCTGTCCTTGTTTATTGATTCTTAAAAAGGTAATTTAAAGTTATTTTTTTATGTATAAAAAATTACATTCTGCAAGTTGAGAAAATAACCAAGAAATGAAATTGCTTGCATCAAGGCTAAATGGTTTCTACTAGCTTATTGATCAGTGAACAAAGAACTCACCAATAATTATGTAGTCTAGCATATTCTGTCTGAAATGCTAGACTACATAATTATTCAATTATGTATATTTTACCAAATAAGTCAGAGATCTTTTCATAGCTTTAGCTTATATCTTCTAGGATGCACACAAGATGTGGACATACATTTTGCAATTGATTCCTCAAATAAGTTCTCTGCCCAAGATTTTGATCTATTGAGGAATTTTTTAAAAGCCACAATTGATACCTTTGTGGTCTCTGGACGTGGGACACATTTTTCTGCTTCGGTTTTTGGAGATGACCCAAAAATGCACTTCAATTTCCACAGTGGTTCTTCCAAGGAGGATGTGTTTACTGGTATTGAAAAACTACCTCATCTTCAGGAAGGAGAGTCAAATATGGACAAGGCTGCTAGATTGGCATCTACAGAGGCATTTTCACTGAGAGGGGGTACAAGGCAAGGTTCTCCAAAGGTTTTTATTTTAATAACTGCTGGTAATTGTGCAAGTTGCAAGGAAAGGCTAGTAGATGCAGTGCAACCTCTTTTAAATGATGGTGTACAGATTTTGACTATTGGCATAGGCAATAAAGTGAACAAAAGAGAGGTTATAGAAATCTCTTCACAGCCACAGGACAAGAATGTGTATTTCGTCAACTCTGTAGAGCAGCTGCTAAATTCAACCATTATACAAAGTATCTCAAGTGCAGCTTGCCAAGGTGAGCCTTTGTTTATCTTTAGCTCTTTAATATCATTAGCAGTTGGTTGTATATCTGCTTCCAATTTTTTTGATGTTCCCTATTTATTCTTTTAAGTTTTGTTTTGATGATAGTGGCAGTCTTAGTTAATGTATTTTTGGGTTTTTCATTTACTTGAAAGTTATGTGGATCATATTTTCTTACTTGGGAATTATGTTATCCTTTTCAAGCAGTAGTTGATATTGAAAAACACCTGTCAGTATCATCTTCCTTATTCTATCTGGCTCACGACCAAAGTCATTCTTTCAAATCTGATTACCTCAATTATTGCAAGATTATCCAAGTTCCTGGAAGATGATTTCTTGTTCAGTTGTATAGAATCCTTAAAAGAAACAGTTGCTGTCCCTTTTTCATTCTTTTGAAAAAACATTATGTACTATGTTAGTTCACCCTTAAATTAAGTATGGCTTAAATATATCTAAATACACCAAAGTTAAAATGATATACAGCTATAAGAGACAAGAAAGAATCCTCCAGGATTCTGAGAATCGTCAAAATGATGCCTCTTTCTTTCAGTCAGGTGCTTGCTGTAGCATGTGCATTGTTTGTAATCAGATAATAGCCCATGGAAAAAATTCCTTTTGCAGGTCATTCTGGTGTATGTCCAGTTGTAAAAAGACCATCCTCTTGCCCACCTGAAATTTCTTACAAATGTGAATCAGATATGGACTGTAAAGAAGATGAAAAGTGCTGCTTTGATCAGTGTGGAAAAGCTTGTGTTAAAAAGAATTTAGGTATGAAACTTAGATGCAAGTCTTATGTAATACAATCCTGGTTTTTATATAAACCTAGTATTTAAAGCACTTTGATATCCCTCATCTGATGTTTTCTAGTACAGCAAAATGACAATTATTTCTATATTGGTATTTCCTTCAGACTCGTGTGAACCCAACTTTTCACAAATTCATTTTCTATCTCTTGAATTACAATAGTCTGATGAATATTGAAAATTTGTATCTTGTATTTGTATCAATTTAAAAAATCTTATCTAATGAGGAGATGTTAAAATATAAAATTTTGTGCTGTTCTATTACCTTTTACAGTAGCTCAAGAATTTATTTTTGTTATGTGACTTAAATGTAAAAACTTGTTAATCAGGTACTCAAATCAAGAAGGGACTCAGTCTAGAAATTTGGAAAATTGAGATTAATATTAATTTATGATAATAAATTGATATACGGGTATTATTTCAAAAAAGGATAATGTAGTTGTTTTGAAAGCAAAGCCTTTCATGAATTGTTATGTCTATTGAATTATATATTTGTAAAAGCTCTAAGAAGAAAAGTAGGTATTTGTCTTTCTTTAAAATATAGTTATAATGAGACCCTTTGTGAAAAAGAAAGTAAATAGCAAGAGACAGCATATTTAAGAGTAAAGGTTTCATAGAGTAGAGAAATGTGTGTATCGTCACTAATAACCATCCTTATTGGAAAATAGTAAGTTCCTTATAGATTTTATTGATCTTTCTATAATTTTTGAATGTTTTTTTATTGTAGGTTGTTTAAAGCCACTGGATATTGCTTTTGCAATAGATGTTTCATCGCGAATAAGTCCTGTTGATTTTCGTCTTCTGAAGGAAGGAGCAGTTAAAATGATTGACAACTTCAAAATTGGTGAATCAAATAGCCATGTTGGGTTACTCACATTTTCTTCAGCTGTTAGGGTTGTCTTCAATTTTGCACGGACTTACAGTAATGAGAAAATCAAAAGTCAAGTAAACAACCTTGTTCAGGATTCATCCACAGAAAGCAACATAGAATCTGCCTTGACTACTGCAAAACTTGATCTTTTCAGTTTGAAAGGTAGATCAAGAAGAGGTGTTCCAAATGTTCTTGTCCTAATAACTAAAAGCCCATTGGTATTCAAAGAATCAGATACATTTCTAAAGGCTGCGGATCAACTGAAATCTGCCCTTGGTGGTGTTGAATTGATCAATATTGTTATAGGACAGAAAGCTGGATCTAACTATGAAATCCTAGAAAAAGCTTCATCTCTGTCTGAGTCAACTGGCAAAAGTAAATATTTCCACTTCGAAAGAACTAGTGACTTTGTGAAAAACGCCAATCTGCTGAGTATTTCATCACAAGCTTGCTCAGGTATGATTTTTATGTAATTACATAGATATCGCTTTTTGTTATATTTTGTTTTCAGCTTTCATAAAGCCAGTATCATTTTATGATATATCTTTTTTCGCATGATCAATTTTATTCTAAGAGTTATTGTTTTTAACTATAAGAGTATAATTTTGTCCAAATTATGTTCAATGCTAAAGTAATCTTAATTTACAACAATAAAAGAGGTTGTAAGTAGAAGATGGACTTGATAATTAATCAAGTAAGACTGGAAAGACACTAACCCATCAGATGAATTCACTTTTTGAAATCAATGATTACAACAGATTTACGTAGTCTCACTTGTTTCCTGTTAGTCTCATGTTTTGTGAGTTTCACATCTTAAAAATGGTAGAATCAATATCTTACTTTTACCATTTATGAAATGTGTCTATTCTTAACTTATGCACAGGGAATTGAGACTAATTGTTTTTGGAAATTGAGAATAGGGGAGAGGGATGATTTCTATACTGAAATTTACGTGGATGTTAGTTTAAAGGTAATTTTAGCATGCTTTGTAGTTTGATTTTTAATTTGTCTTGCAGCATCATTTTTAAACAAGTGCCCAGTTGACTTGAAGGTGAATGTTTGTATTCAGAAGGATCATGAATGTGATCAAGATTTTGACTGTCCTGGATTCTATAAATGCTGTGGTAGTTCTTGTAAGAGGAGACTGTGTGTTGCAGCGCCAACTGGTTAGTTATTCCTTACTGATAGCTACAAATTTTTTAAATTTTGCTTCTTTTTTGATGAAAATTTTTCCAGCAGTATTGATACTTGCCATTTAGTTATTGGCCATGAAAAGCTGCATTATGATCATATTGTTTAACTGACTTCCATTTTTTTAGTGTGTCCAGACAAAGTTGACTTAATGCTCATCCTTGACGATTCTGCAAAAGTTGGTGAAAAGAATTTCTTGAAGGTTCGAAATTTTGCTAAAGTTCTGCTGCCATTGTTTAAAGTGAAAGGTGACGGCACACAAGTTGCTGCAATGACATACAGTGACAGAGCTAAAATGGCCTTTGGTTTCGACTTTATGAAGGGCAAAACTGAGAAAGATGTTTTGGACACAATTGACTCTATACCATACACAGGTGGAAGCACATCAAGATTAGATAAAGCATTGGACCTTGCAACTACAAACTTGCTCTTAGAACGTCAAAAAAGAAGTAATGCCAAGCAGGTTGGTAAATTGGTTGTTATCCGATGTTTTTATATCTTTTTATATGTTTGATATATATGTATGCATGAATGGTCTGAGATGAGTGTCATAACTATAACAGGAAACAGCAGGAAACAACAAGACACTAATACAAACGAGGAGAAACGATAAGGAAACAACATGAATTATTCCTACACAAATATATACCATATTAACTACTATCATCATAGCTTTTAAGGCAGGAATTCCACTAAATAGATAAAGTGGCAGATGCGCTTGAATTTTTTTCCTACCAATTTTTGTATATTTCATAGTCGTTTCTAATTGTTTCTGCTTGTTGCCTAGTTGTTTCCTACTCGTTTCCTACTTGTTTCTTCTTGTTTCCCAGTCGTTAATACTCATTTCCTGTTATAGTAGCCACAGAGTTTCATTCAATATGTATTTTTTATGTTCTTAACACCTTTGCAGAATATTGAAATTGTTCCCAACATAATATTTTTCAAGCCATTTTTTCAAATGTGTGTGGATCGCTATATCATTTGTAATTTTTCAAATATTGTGTTACACATTTCAAAGAATTATTCCAATTTTAAATGAGTACTGTTTGAATAAAAAGGAAAACCATGACTGTATTGTTTTAGATTCATATATTGGTTTTTAACCTGCAAACTACTTTTTTGTGCTTAAGTTTGACCTGATGTGGTTTTTTGTTTCTTCTAGACCATAATCCTGTTTACTGATGGAAACACAGATGTCAAGTCAAATCGATTAGATCTAGCATCATGGCCACTTAGAGCTAGCAAAGTTCGAATAATTGCTGTTAGCGTAGGAGACAGTATTAATGAGAAACAAATGGGAAATGTTGTCAGTTTGCCTGTCTCTGATAATGTCTTCCTTGCCTCTAATTATGATGATATTCGGATGAGCATAAGCGAGATTACCGACATGTCTTGCCAAGCAGGTATATTGTCAGTTAGATGGACTGCAGCAAAGGGTTTATGCGCGATTGCTCTCACCTTGATATGCGTCATGAATATTAAATTGTGAATTTCCTAGTAAATCTATTGTTTACCACATTGCCATATTTTGTTACAGCTTTCAAAAATCTATTGTACTATAAATCTATTGTAAATATCAACCAAGTTTATGTCTTTTTCTAGCTCAAGATACCCCAAAACCACCCATTAAGGTAAATTATATGTCTGGTATTTATTGAAATGTGCCTTAATAAAACCTTTCATGCTACTTTTTTCAAATTGCTTAGTCATGTAACAACTTATTATTTAAACTTGAATTCAGTTATTTCTTTTTCAATTAATTTTGAAAAGCTAGAATGTCCTCATGCTGAATCGGTGTAAAAGGATCTCAAGCAACTGGCTTTCTATATAAAAAAGCACAATTTTTGACACTTTTTTCAATTTTTTTCTGCAGTATGAAAAAGGCCCCGCTGGAGATGAAGGACCAAAAGGAGATCCAGTAAGTTTCCTGTTGAAGCTCTTACCTCTAGTTTGAATTCTTAACTTTAGTTTTTTATACAGAAATCATTGCATTGCATTTATGAAATTTACAAGAAAACATTTCTGACTTGCAGCAATCTCAATTTTAATTTTAGGGCCCACCAGGACCACCTGGAGACAAAGGCCCAAAAGGACCAATTGGTGGAACGGTATGAATTTATGACAATTGTTTCTTTTACTGTTAAAGATGCATGATGGTTGTCCTAAATTTCAATTTGTTTCTTTTGATTGTTCTATACTTGAACTGTTTCAAAATTACCATAAACTATCGCACCTAGGTCACAGGTTTGAGTTTGACAGCAAAGCTTTCAAATCTTTAATTGGTTGAGAGACTTTCTTTCTCCATACCATATTAACCAATCAGAATTCAAAAATATGATAACAAACGTGCCTTACAGCTGGAATTATACCTATTTTGCATGTTTTTACCAACATATTGGCTCATTATCAAAAAGTTTTTAACATTCCAAAACTGTGAGGTCTGTACTCTTTCTTCTTTTATAACTAGGAGGGTTGGAAAAAGGCTTGAGGAAAGTTGCACTTTTCTCCCTCCGAGGGGGGCTAGCCTCTTTGTCAGTCTGACTAGCATCTTTCCTTCATGCTTGGTTGGTAGCCCTTGTGATAATTGCTGGAAGGTGTGTTGGGGGACATGTTGTAGTTTCAAAGCAGTGTATTGACCCAAATAATAATATTTTGTCAAATAAAGTTATATATATAAAAGAAAACTTTTCAAATGGCATCACATTTCTTCGCTAGTAGAATCAATTTTATCAAATGATACATACGGCAAATGTAAATTTTACTATGATTTCTTGATAACACCGGTCATAGGTCATAATGGCCATAAGCCATAAAGGCTGTAGGAAATATGGAATATTGCATAGTAGATTTAAGTTGTAGAAATGGCGATATTTCAAGCTTATTTTCCTGTCTGTGTGACATTTTTTACATTTCGTTGTCTAGCTGATACAATTTTGGTGCTTTACGAACGAACCTGAGGACTGGTTTTGATTGATTGTTTAAATGTACCTATCAATACAAACAACCATAATGGGTTTATGTTTTAGTGACGATCTGTGGCGCATGTTCAAAATTTCTTGACTGCGTGTGAGAATAGAATTGAGTTTTCCATAATGCTCGTTCTCGCAGATTGATTCTATCTTAACAGATTGCCCTACCAACTCCTTTTTCATAGGGTTGCTCTATTTAGCCCAAATATTCAGAAAAGTCAAGTTTTCACTGCTCAAACAAATGAACACAATTTAGCCAGTAATAACATCCTTGTGGAAAACGTGCTTTGTTTCAACTGATGCTTATGATAACCTAACACCAGGACTTGAAAAAAATTATCATTTTTCTGTGATTTTCTGTGAACTTTACGCACGTCTCAAAACTACATACATTCATCATGAGCCAAAAACTGGTTGTTTCTCAAACTTGAGCTATTTCTTTAACAGGCAGATTCAACATATTGATGAAAATTCAAGCCAAATGCCAACCACTTTTGAAAAATCACCAAATAGCCAAAGATTTTTTCTGTCATTTGTAAAGCTTTTGATCTTTAAAATAAGTTCGTGATACAGTACATGTTGTGCTTAGCAAAATTATGTACAATGCCTGCCAAAAGTCTTGGAACACTGACGTCAATTTTCAAGGTCAAAATAAAGCACCTCCCCCCTCCCCTACAGAACAGTGCTGGTTTATTATCAGACAGGTTAGGATTTTAGGAAGCACTTTCTTTTGCGCTTCTTTTATGATATTTCTCTAAACTATCAACATTGTTTTAGGGGAAAGAGGGCGGAAATAGTTATTTTTTTCATGAAAGGTATTATATCTATTAAATGCAGCGTAAATTACTGGGTGTTGCAAGTACTTTGGGCAGGCATTGTACCTTGAAAATCCATCAGCATTTTGCATTTGTTGATTAAAGTCTAATGGTAGCAAGCTCAATTTTTGAACGTGTCTCACCAGTTCATATAACAGAACTTATTACGGTTTGCTATGATGTATAGTGATCGTTTTGTTAAGGTAGATGCACTCAAGTGTAAAGATCAAGACTGACATTTTTGTAACCATCCTGTTTTACTCACCGAAGCGTAATTAGGATTGTGTGCAAAATGCTTTTCTTGTATTATAGGGATTGAGAGGTGATAATGGAATTCCAGGTGTCAAAGGCCAACCAGGTGAAGCAGGACCGCCTGGACCCCCAGGGGGCATTGTAAGTTTTTATTTTTCATCCATTGTTGGCATTAAGGCCCCAAACATGTGTTATGAATTGCATTATTTTATAAACTATGTATAATTTCTGCTATATGGCTGAATTTCTTAAGATATTTCAAGTGGGATAATAGAATATCAAGATCTTTAGGTTTGTTTAGGGATAAAAGAAATTTTTCAGTTGCAATCAAGTTTTTCTTTTTCATTTACTAAAAAATCATCACTTTCACTGGCCAAATCTGACATCTTCTGTTGCAATAATTATTTATGCACAATTAACCTTAAAATTTTGTATTTTACCCGCGCCAAATACGTTTTACTTGTATTGTATGAGTCTTTTATTGTATTATTTAGACAAAAGGACCTGATTCACTGTACAGAGCTGTAGGAATCCTAGTGAGTGACTCTGGTGTGAACCCTCAATTTGATTACCAGCCCGGTGCAGAGGTTAGCAACTTTCACTATGTTTTTCCTTTGATTCATCTAAATCTATTCTATATTTATTCATATATTTGTATTTAATATGTGTTTAGTAGTCTGTGTATGTGGTAGATCGTCTATATCTGGTACAGATATGAGAAATTCGTTTTTACTATCAGACGATTTACTCTCACATTTTGATATTATAGGGGCCCCAAGGACCACCTGGAAAGGCTGGTGAAGTTGGTTTGACGGTAAGAATTTTTTTCCTGCATAAAAACAATCAACGTCAATTGAATTTCTATATAAAGTTGTATTTTGGCCTTAAGTGGTCGTTCTAGCAAAGCATAGCAATCTTTTTACCTAGGAAGCTGTAAAAAAATCGTAAAATTATGAATTTTCGTCAAATATATATATATATATGATTATAGTCTGTCTGATGAGTGCGCAAGCACGAAACTCGGAGTAACAGAGAACATGTCTCATTTCTAGTCTATATTCTATTTTATTATATCTATTGCTCTGTGCTTTTGCACATCGAGCACTGTCACGCCAGAATAGACAACGCAATCTGGAATATATATATAAATATAAATATAAAGTTATTGAAAAATTTGTGTTTTTTTGCTAGGGAGACAAAGGCCCTAGTGGTGATGCAGGCCCAAAAGGCGAGGTTGGGCGAGTGGTAAGTTGAACTAACACAATAGACTGATTAACTTTGTTGCCAAGTTTTTTTAAAAGGATTTTGGAATCTGTATTTAAAGCCATTTAAACCAATTCTTTCTAACTTTTTTATTATTGGTAATAAAAATTAACTTATTGTACCTAAGTTTCTATGTATTTGCACATTGTAAACCATTGATTATTTTGCAGGGGCCTTATGGACCACAAGGTCCTCGTGGTAAGGATGGCGCTGATGGGAATCGGGTAGGAATTCTTTATCAAAAATATATTTTCACACCTCAAGACAATTTTAATGCATATAAACTTGTATATATATATATATATATTATATATATATATATGTGTGGTAAACCATGATAAACCATGTATATAGTTTTAATTTCTTCAATCTATGATATATATATGTGTGTATACTTGTAATATGCCTATATAAATATATAGGTTAAAAAAGCACTATATCAAATTGGTAAGACAAAACTATATATCTACATAATGTATAATTTATGAGTTATTAGTTATTGAAACGGTCATTTAGTTTTGCTTTTCCAGCTCTAATATGTTTATTGCTGATTACCTCGTTATTTAATCATGAATTGATCTTTCTTTTTAGGGTCCAGCTGGAGGCCCTGGAGACAAAGGCCCTACTGGTCCCCAAGGGCCAGTTGTATGTTCTTTGTGTTTTTTTAAATTTTTTCCCTGTTGATAAATTTCCCCCTTGGCAACATTGTTCCATCTCGTGGAAACGTATCTTAACTGTTAAGACCTTCACTGTTTATGGGATTATGTTGAAACACAATGCAACAAGACTCTCTTCGTGAAGAGAACAGAGCTGGAAAGGATAAATAACAAAGTTAAGGAAGAAGTATTTAAAAATGGCCTTGGAATTCATTTTTCATGTTAAGTAATGGATTTTTGACACTTAATGCAACGAATTTCTTAAACCAATATTCTTATGGAAAAGTTAACAAATATGATGACTGCAATAAATCATACTTCAAAAGGTCTATTCCCTAGAACAACTGGGCATATTTGATCTTTAAATGCTTCACTGCTACTGAAGTATCTATTAAACAGTTCAGCGATTTCCCAGAAAACATGATAATTGGCAGAAACTAAATGCGAAGACTCAGCTTTGCTCTGTTTCAAAGCCAAAACTCAAATAGAGAAAAAGAGCATGTCAAATGAAAGGGCTTTTCTGATGACCACTAGAAAAACGGTAAAGTTTATTGGGCTTGGTCAAATTGGTGGGTGTATTTTCCATCACAATTACTAGTGCCTATTATTGACCGAATTGACTGTAATTGTGTAAGCGAAAATTTTTCAATAGATTTAAAATTAGGGAGTTCTCTTTTTATTATGAATCCTTAAAAACTCAAACTCCGTCCTTATGTCGATTATGTATGCTTCTTTAGGGAATTCCTGGAAAAGTCGGGCCACAAGGTCCATTTGGATGGAAAGGAGTCAGAGTAAGTTTATCGTTTTATGCCTTTTTGCATGTCCTATTTTTAGTTGCTGAGCCATTCCACCTTGATATAACAATATCTATTTTGGTTCACATTAATTCAATATCTGATGGAGCTAAGATTGCAAGATGATACGACTTAGAAGTAATATCTTACGACCTATTGATTCATTTTTCAAGAACTTGTTCATTGTGCAGCCAAAATTTCGTCAAAACTGTCTAAATGACCTGTTTTTTGCTGTCATTAATGTCCAGTTTATGAAAATATGTTACGTCTGAATCTTTAAACAAAAGAATGTATCGAATTCTGAGAGAAAACACTTTCTTATAGCTTTTTGCTTTTATTGTATCATTCAAAACGCTTTTTCATTAGTGTTTATCTGTGAAGGCCTTAGTTATCCTTATTGCAGTTGGTGCTCGAGTTTTCAATGCTGTTTATGTCGACTGTTTAACATGCTTGTGGGGTCTGATCATTTGAATTGTGGTATTGTATCAGAGGTTAACTTATAGGGTGCTGAAGGCGGTTCTGGTGATGCTGGCACTAAGGGAGCTTCTGGTTTGAAGGTATTTATCATTCGTTAGTATCATTTAGGTTTGATGTAGGGTTCAAAATATTAGGTATAGAATCTTCCACACAAAAATTAAATTTCTTAGGCTGCTAGATTACCAAAGTTGTTCATGTTTAGCGCACTTTGTATTGGCGTTTTTCAAAATGAGTGTATGCTTCCCCGATGATATTGTATTCTTCTACCTTCAACTGCCACTTCAATTATTATGATTTTTTCTACTTGTACATGATAAAATTTTACCAATCGCGATCTTTTTTGTTTTCAGTAGTGATATTTGTTTTGAATTATTCTTGGAAACGACCCGATATTTTCCTTTTTGTAGGGGTACCCTGGTGAGAAAGGTGCACAAGGAGAAGTTGGCTCCGTGGTAGGTGCAATTTGATAATTTTTTTGTCTTACCATTAAATATCTACTTTTGAAAAATCCTTTTTTCTCTGTGAACATTTATAGAAAGGAAAAAAAGTTTGGGAAGGTGGACAGTTAGAATTCCTTTAAAGGTTAAACTGCCTTTTTTCACAGAAAATTTTTACCATTCTCAGGGAGCAGCCGGAGCATCTGGAGAAGATGGCCCCATAGGACCACAAGGTGCTAGGGTATGTGTGAACATTTCTAGGAATTTTCTAAGGCGTGTGTTTAAAATGTGTTTGTGAATGTGTTTAATTTATTGAAAATACTTTATCGAATTTGGTTCGTTTTCCTTTTATGCAACTTTTAAGCTATTCAGTGCTCTAAAGTGAGCATCGCTGCCGTGTTAAACTCATTAAATTGGGTTTATTGCTTATACCTGAATCTAGTTATTATTGGAAATGATTTTACCCTGAAAAGAAAGCATTGGTTTTTTGAGCCACACCTCTCAAAATTCATGTTTGTATTTGTTTAGGGACCACGTGGAAAGCAAGGCTCAGCTGGAAAGCAAGGAGACGGAGTAAGATAGAACTTTTGCTACTCTCGAACGTGTCCCGTTTTTCAACAACTGAAAAAAATGATTCTAATGTTTCTGTCACTATTAAGACCAGTTTATACATTTTTACTTACAAATGGTTCTGTAAGGGGAAAACTTTATCCTTGTTCGGATACAGAAAATCTGTTTAACCTTTTAAGAAATATCTCTGCACATTGAATTAACGTCTCTTTGAAATCCACTAATACAGAATTGCATCAAGTAAAAGTGTTGTCACATTGATTTATAATAACTGTTGTGCGTTGCATAAAAATTGCATCTCATTTTAAGGCATAATTTAAGAATTGCATATGTAGCTAGATTTGATTTTTTCTACCCGCTTAAGGTTAAAGTTTATCCAAGAACGTATTTTGTTGAATGTCTGTTGCAGATTAAATTCTGTTTCATTATAAGTAAACATATCTCAGAAAATATTTATAAATCAATTCTTTGTTTGACTATTTGATTGTGACACTTTTACGGCTGAAAAAGATTCCTTTTCTGAAAATTTTGTTTCCTGATTTAAGGGTGAAGAGGGATTCATGGGTTCAACTGGTTTGCCAGGTTTGGCTGGAAATAAGGGCTCTGCAGGTGCACCAGGTGCTCGCGGACAACCGGGAGCCAAAGGAGAACTAGGTTTATCTGGACCTGAAGGCGCAAGGGGGTTGCCTGGACCTGCAGGAATCTCTGGCAAAGAAGGGGTGTCAGGTGCTAAAGGAACGTCGGTAAGAAATATTTTGAAATGTTTTTATTTACCATGATGCGTGATTGAATGAATACTGAATGAAATCTATTCCAATAGTCACAGCTTGTCTTAAATGAATTCTGAACGAAATCTCTATCAATAGTCACGTTTTTTGCCTTAGGGCTCTGTTGGACCATCTGGAGCACAAGGACTGCCTGGACCCGAAGGAGCTCAGGTAAGAGGTTAAATCTTTATTTAAGAACTGATGGAACATTTAAAACACCCAAAGGAGCTCATGTAAGAGGTTAAATCTTTATTTAAGAACTAATAGAACATTGAAAGCTACAGAATGCACACAACGTTTTTAGGACTATGCCAATATCTGAATCTACCCATCTTTTCTAGAAAGAAAGAACCTTTTTAGTAAAATACTCTTCGCAAACAATGCTCTTTGTAGATAGGCACTCTCAATATAATAAAGAATACTATCGTTTTATTAGAATTTCTTAAGAATAGAAGTTTTTTTTTCCAACAGGGGCCACAAGGACGTCAAGGGTTAATTGGATCCGAGGGACCAAAGGTGAGTTTGCGCAAAGGCTGCATTAATTTCCCCTTTCCTGTCTCTAAACGATTTCTTCTCTGCATTTTATGTTCTTAGTTAGAAAGTTTGCTACTGGGTTCAGTATTTGGGCAATACAGGTAACTGCCATCTTTTATAGACTCCAGTATAGACAATATTACACGATTCATGTGACTGAAGTTGGCTCCTGTCCGTAATTTTCCATTTCTATATGGTAATCACTAACCTGCCAAACACTGTATCAGCTTGTAGTATAATGGTTTCTTTTAAACGATTCTTTAGGCTATCACTTCTCAATATTGCAGATTTATTCCTGTAGGGAAATTGTCTTGTAGGGTGAAAGTGGACAGCGTGGTGGTCGTGGTGCTGGAGGGCCCAAAGGAGAAGAGGTTTTAATTTGTTGTTGATTTGTTGTAAAGCTACATGAATAAATCTATGTTATGAAATAAATCAAATTCGTTTCTCTGTCGCTGTTGTATTGTGTAAGTTTTTTAAAATCTCTCAATATTTTTCCTTTAGGGAGAGCCTGGACTCCGTGGAGCACCAGGACCCCAAGGTGCAGATGGACCACTGGTACGTATGCATCCTCTTCAGATAAGCTGGCACTTTGCTTATGATTACTGATAAGCTGGCACTGTAGAAATATTGTCCAACTTTATTAAATTAATTCAAATTGTAATACTTTATTTAGGGTGCAACTGGTGCAGCAGGTCAAAGAGGACGAGCAGGACCAGCCGGCGAAAGCGTAAGTAGAATGGAATTTATCTTTATTTTTGAGAAATTTTAGACTTGTAATGGAGCAGAAGTTTGTTATAATGCAATTAATTTCCAAGGATTGCTAGACAAAGAGCGTTTTCTGAATAATGAATATGTTTATTGCTAACGGAAATGATTCCAAATTGAACTCTGTTCAGTGGGTCAAATAACTGACGGTGCTATTCTTATAGGGTCAACGAGGCAGAAATGGAGATCCCGGTCGCAATGGTGCACAAGGAATCAAAGGAGAGCCAGGAGAGATGGGCAATGTTGGAAGAGCAGGACAGAAAGGAGCAAGGGTATTACCCTGTTTAGTTTGTTCATTCTGAAATTTTTTTGAATTGTTTAAATTGCAATAGATACTTCATTATTGACTTTTTTTACATTAAAACATCATCGTTTTTTTGTATATACACCTACAGGTTTTTTGCATAACCGGTTTTATCGGAACTTTTTATAAGCACTGTTTTCTAATGGCCATGGTTTTTAGCTTTCAACATTACAACACTCATATTTTTCCAACTTGACATCATGGAGATAAGGCTAGTTTGCATAATTTGAATTTATTCTTATATTCATGATATATTCTTAATTTGTTTTGGAGCTGAATTTGTTTTGCTTTATTGTAACGTAGTTGCGCCGGTTCTTGTATTATATATTGTTCGTTTTTAGGGCTTGCCAGGTCGCATTGGTGATCAAGGTGAAGCTGGACCACTTGTAGGTTTTCTAAAATTATCGTTCGTTTTACAATTTATCATCTGATTAAGTTGTTTTGCTAAAAATGATTGGATGTTTGCTTTGAATTTCGGAAATTAAAGTTTGATTAGGAAAGGAAGATATTTTGAAATGAGAAATGGCTGGGATCAATTTGATGTTTGGTAAAAAATATTGGGATTATGTGACTATGAGATAAGAATTGAGCCTATTGGTCATTTCGAATGCAATACAATATTTGCTTCGTTGCATCATTAAGATCTCAAGTAGGCCAGAATTTAATCTGCAAAAGATAATATCTTGTTCTAGATGGTTATTGGCAATTATCTATTGTAATTTTCTACCAAACACACCCTTGCCTATTTAACATTAACCCGTTGATGGTCTATGTGCATACAAAATTTGCTTTAGTGAAGAGATATAATTTTGTACTGGCTCTTTTTGGTGTGCCGTAATTTGTTGCTGTAGTGACATCATCTAATTAAACGTGTTAAATCGTATTTTTAGGGCCAGGCCGGAGCACCAGGCCAACCAGGGAAAGATGGAAAACAAGGAGCATCAGTAAGTTCGGTTGCCGCTATGTATACGTAAATTCATGTGCACTTTCAACTTGCAATCGGAAGGTTCATCGTATGTTGACCACTCTTAGGTCCTTGAATAACTGGAATGGGAAGGCAAAAAAATCACAATTCTGAAGGAAGTGTTTTAATAAGACATTCGTTCGTTTTTATTAATGGAACTCAGATGGTTCCGTAGTCAGTCACATTTTTCCAGCCCCTGGTCACGTCAGATTGCAGCAATAAAGCAAATTGGTATATATAGATAAATTTGTTTATTTTTGGCTTGAAGAAGCTTGGTATTGTATACTAGTTTTCTGTACCTTGTGCAAATGTTTATTAACGAGCTATGCTTGATTTTACTATCTTGAGTCTAGCTACACCCTAAGTGTCTGCATCTCTGATTCTGTTAGTCAAACCAGATTGGTTCTGTCGTTTCACACACTTGCGTGTAGTTAACCAGAAAATAAGCAAGAAAATTTTGCGTAGTATATAGAGTTTCTTTTTGATTTCTGTTTTTGAAAACGGTTCCTCGCCAAATAGGGAGCCATTTTGATGCTTTCACAAAACTTTAACTAACTCTAAAATTGCAATATTATAGGGTCCTAATGGTAAAGATGGAAGCAACGGATCTCCTGGAGCTGAGGTATTTTGCTTTCTACTACAGTTTACTTAACACTGTCTCTTTGTGATTCAGTAGAAATAATTCTGTTTTTTTAGTGTTTAATAATTGAAGGACTTTTCTGAGAAATGTTCCGTTCTCCTCTTAGGGTCAACAAGGTTTTCCAGGCCCTGTAGGCCCTCCTGGCGCAGTTGGAGACGCGGTAAGATAGAAAAATTTTATTTACATGCAAATAGAGTTTTCTTAAAAGTTCTTTTGAAATTAAGTCTGCAAATGCCGTTTGCTTTATCCAAAGTCCTGATTAATTTTTGATATTCTTCGTCAGTTGCGCTAAGATTTAGAGCTGATAGCAAGACATTTTTTTGCAGGGACAAAAAGGAAAGCGTGGAGCTGATGGCAAGGCTGGCAGGAAAGGTGTAACAGTAAGTAAAACCTGTTACAATTAATAGGGCTGACCATGTTATATAACTAGCGGTACAAGTAAGTCTTTCAATAAAAGTTATTTGCAAAATCTATTCAAGACATTTCTGTATTCAGTATTTCTTATAGATCATAATGTGATGTGATTACTGTCGCTTTATAGGGAGAATCTGGTCCAATGGGCGAGACCGGCGTGCAAGGACCCCAAGGAGAAACGGTAGGTTTGGAGTAACTAACGTATAGCAACCTTAACATTTACAGGATTTTTAAAAGAAATACGCCTAATTTTTCTTGCATTTAAATTTCATTTGCTTGCAGAGTTTGAAATTTGTGTTCTCAGCGAGGTCGTTAAATATATTTCCGTTTTCAAGGGATTGGCAGGTGAATCTGGTCAACAAGGAGCTCCAGGAATCGCAGGATTGCAGGTGAGAAATTGAAAACTTATAAATACCTTTTTTCAAAACTTAAAATTATTTTGGCTCTGCATAGTTGAGTATTATTATCTTCTTAACTTTTATTATGAATTCATGTTTTAGGGTCCACCAGGTCCAACTGGCCCAGAGGGAAGTGCAGGAAAGGACGGCGCAAAGGTCTGATATTTTATTTTTTTGTTGATGAATCATAAACTTTGTGCAAGTGGTATTTCTTTTTTCCCTGTTTTTTTATAACTCACGTGGAAGTAAAGCTATCAGCCTTCTCTTTTAAATGACGCAGTTTTCGTTGTATTTTCATTTTGTTGTATTAAATGATTTGCAAATTTTCTGCTCGAGGCTCAGTTTTCTCGCAAACTCACTTTGACAGCAGCTTAGATTCGTGTTTGCCAGTTTTTGTATTTTATCGTTAAAAATACTCATTTTAATCCGTTTTAGGGACCAAAAGGTAGTCCTGGTAAAGATGGCCCACCAGGTCCACAAGTGAGTCTGACTCAATGTTCTATCTTTATTTGAATGTCCGTTTTTAATTTCTTGTGTTTGGTATCTTTACCAAGCTATGTGCTACACACATACAGTTTCAATACGTTTTCGCTAGCGTTATAAATTTTTTCTGGTTTCGTTTTTAAATTCGCATCTTTACTCTTAATAACTTTTACTTTACTATTAAATTCACATTTAATTACTTTTTAATTCGCATCTTAAGGAGTTACGAGTGTACAAAATTACTTGTTGTTCTTATGTCTCATTTGAATGTCGTTCCAGGGAGAAAGAGGAGAGAGCGGATTGCCTGGACCCACTGGTCTCACGGTAAGTTCATAATGCTTCGATTGATCCATATATTGTATTCTGAAAAATTTGAAAAATTTGAAATTCAAATTTGATTGTAAAAACTTTGGCTCAATAAAAGTCTTTCCTAATTTCAAATTTCATCTTGTTTTTTTAGGGAAGGCAAGGCAGGCCCGGCGAGGAAGGAGATGCTGGAGAACCAGGAGCTCGGGTAAATATTGAGATTCTTGCTTCTTGTCGATAATAAGCTTTGCTACAATTATGTTTATTCTAGTTATATGTTCCGTCGGTCAAATTTTTATAACCGTCTTCTGTTGCATTGGGTGAAAATATTCTGTTTTAAAATATCTCATTTTTAAGATTAATCATTATATGTGTATCAAATTAAATCAACTTTCAAACTGATTTATGTCATGATATGACATGATATAAAAACTCATTGCATGGCATGATATCAAAATCTCATTGCATGGCATAATATCAAAATCTCATTGCATGGCATAATATCAAAATCTCATTGCATGGCATAATATCAAAATCTCATTGCATGGCATATATATTCAATCTATATGCATGGGCATACTAATCAAATCTCATTGATGGCATATATAAAATCTCATTGCATGGGATAATATGAAAATTCGATTGCTGGATAATATCAAAATTATTCGCATGGATAATATATCAAATCTCATTTCATGCATGATATAAGAATCTCATTTGCAGTGGCAATAATATCAAATTATTGAGGCATAATTAAATCTCATGCATGGCATAATATAAAATCTCATTTGCTGGATAATATGAAATCTCATGATGGATGTATAATCTATTGCATGGCAATATATCAAACTTCTTGCATGGCATATTAAAATTCATTGCATGGTAATATCAAAAATCTCTCATTGATGGCTAATATAAATCATTGCATGGATATTAAAGATATATTGCATGCTACAATATACAATTATTGTGGTCAATATCAATTATTGCATGGATAATTAAGATATATATGCATGGATAATATAAAAATCTATATGCAGTGGCAAATATAAATTTTGTGGGATAATAGTCAAAGTCTTATTGCTGGATAATATGAAATTATTGCATGGCTAATATCAGAAATTATTGATGGATAATTAAATCTATTGCATGGCATAATATCAAATCCTATTGCATGCATAATTATAAATCTATTGCGATGGATAATATCAATCTCGATTTGATGGCATAAATATCAAAATCTCATTGCATGGCATAATATCAAAATCTCATTGCATGGCATAATATCAAAATCTCATTGCATGGCATAATATCAAAATCTCATTTCATGGCATGATATCAAAATCTCATTGCATGGCATAATATCAAAATCTCATTGCATGGCATAATATCAAAATCTCATTGCATGGCATAATATCAAAATCTCATTGCATGGCATAATATCAAAATCTCATTGCATGGCATAATATCAAAATATCATTGCATGGCATAATATCAAAATCTCATTGCATGGCATAATATCAAAATCTCATTGCATGGCATAATATCAAAATCTCATTGCATGGCATAATATCAAAATCTCATTGCATGGCATAATATCAAAATCTCATTGCATGGCATAATATCAAAATCTCATTTCATGGCATGATATCAAAATCTCATTGCATGGCATATATCAAAATCAAAATCTCATTGCATGGCATAATATCAAAATCTCATTGCATGGCATAATATCAAAATCTCATTGCATGGCATAATATCAAAATCTCATTTCATGGCATGATATCGAAATATCAGCATGGAGATTTCTGCTTGATTAAGAAAAAGACAAGCACCCTTATTCTCCTCGCTTATGATTTCGGAGAACAAGCTTTGAAAAGGGCAAATTTTCTATTTATACAGTGACAATTAATGTATTGGTTAACTATGTGTATGGTTTTGTTGAGATTTTTTATAAATCATGGAGCACTGACAGGGATTTAATCATTTGTTTTATTTTTTAGGGAGACAGAGGACCTGATGGACGTTCAGGTGCACCTGGTGCCCAGGGCTCGCCTGTAAGTGCACTGCTATCTTATGTACTAAACCTTCTATTTGGAACAATTTGTTCACTAGCCTTGAGCCAGAGCACCAATTTATGTCGCCATCACTTTTTACAACTTAAATATTCATACAAATGTTAGTGATGGAAGTAATTGTTTTTACCGGTCTGTCATCATATCTATATATACTCCTGAAGAGTGAGATACTCACGAAACAGGCTTGTAAAGATAAACCATGTAGTCTTATTTTCTTCAACTCTATGATATATCACGCTCTACGTGCTACGTGCTAACGTATTGAGCACTGTACTACGGAAGTATCAAAAGACAAATTTCTATATATATATATATATATATATATATACATATGATTTTGCATTTTGATAGTAGAATATGATAAATTTTGTTTTCTTTTAATTTTCTAAGGGACCCTCTGGACAACGTGGCCTTTCAGGAAGACGTGGCTCCAAAGGACCAAATGTAAGTTACCGCATTTCACAATTATAAGTGTTAGTAACGTTCTTGTTTTAATTATAGTTTTAAAGAAAACTTGTTCCGAAAATATGATTCCTCCTATTCTTGTCATGGTACTCTTGAACTCAAGCCGTGTTTTCTTATTTTCTATCTAATCTGACGATAAAAGACATAAGTTCAAAATACTTTTGTTTCGATCAGTCAAATTTTTTATTGCTGATGCCTGTTCTTCGCTGAAAATGCTTACTGAAGAAAGTTAATTTTCACATACAGGGAATCAGAGGACCTAAAGGTGCACAGGGAAGCAATGGGCTGCCTGGATCACCAGTAAGTGAGCCATGTTGACTTTTTTCAGGTTACTTGGTAGTGAATAATGATAATGTTTTGCATTTGTTTATTGTTCGACTTAAGTCTAAATTGACGGCACTTTGAGAAAATATTTGTCTTAAAACTTTAACTGTCACTGTTATGATTGCCTACCTCTGTCGTTAAAGGGTATGCAAGGAATGACTGGAAGACCCGGCTCATCTGGACCAAGAGGAGAAAGGGTAAGTTTCTGCATTTATTTCATTTTCTCTTTGTTGTTAGTTGCTGGAACATAGTAAATTCTGGAATATGGTTATAAATAGGTATTGTTTCTTTATCGTCCATGTATTCTATTGTTTTGTCTGCATTTAAGCAACGTACAGAAACATTTGGAATGAGATTATTGTCAATAAAAGTACTTCTCAGTATCGAAACAAACATGTTCCATTTGCTGAAAATTCTCGAATCCTGAGTAGTATGATGTAGTATGAAAATTTGTTTGAAATATTAAATAGTTTCTCTAATCTTATGGAGAAGTGAATAATTTGTTTTCTTGTCAAGGGTGCTGATGGACCAAGTGGTGCTCCAGGCCTCGACGGAATCGCTGGACTGCCTGTAAGTTGCTTTTTTACAAAACGCTCAAAACAATTAATTTCGTAACGATTTCCAGATTTGTATGTTGCAGTGGGTTTGTGAAAGAGTTCTATCTTCATCGAAAAAAACTGAACTGCATGATAGTTGCAACACAATTAATTACGTATTGTTTTTTAGGGGCAAACGGGGCCACAAGGTCTTCCAGGAAGAAACGGAGGTCAAGGCTTGCCAGTGAGTCTCTTTTAGTTGCTCTTCCATTTCTTCTGCAGGTTTTCAATTTGTCTCAAATGGTTTTTACATCAAAATTCCTTTACTGATAATTACTATTTTTCCTGTTTGTAAGATAGTGCTCGATGCTGTGTAGGTCAAGACGTGGCTAATAGACAGGCTCGGTTTCACTTGTAACATCTAGTTTCACGCTTAAGCCAAAAGAGATTTATTTTTCTTTCCTCACTTCGAAACAAGTTCGGATTTTTTTGCCTAGGATTGAATACTTGGTGGCAAGTTTTCTTTTAAAGAATATTGACATTTTTAAATAGTGTTTTGCTGTTTTCATATTTTTTGTACTTGACCTTTATTCAAGGAAGCATTGGTCCTTTTTCCTACATTTGCAGTGCTGTTTGCAGCTCTTTCTTTCATCACGGAGACTCTTGATATTGTAGTTCTTGATGATGCTTGCAAGGTTGGGCATGCACCTGTAACTTACTTAAATATTGTCAATATCTAAAATCTTCTAGATTCTTTTGCAATAGTGATAATGTTTAATTTTATTTCAGGGACCATCAGGTCCACCTGGTGACAGGGGAAGAAAAGGTGGAAGAGGTGACCAGGTAGCGTTTAAGTACTTGCCTTTTAGGTCTAATGTCACTTGCTGTTTTGAATTTTTTGTTATAAAATTTGAATATATTTCAGTATCCAAAGTTTTTTATTCGTCTTGTGAGCAGCACGCTTCTGTCACCCAAAGAACTTTTGACAGCTAATGAAATAATGTTTACTTTCCTGCGACCGGACAAAAGTCATGTATCAATTTCCTGTGGGAATGGGAAAATAAAAGAAGAAAGGGCCACCTTCTAAAAACCGTAATGGCATGTGACCAGTTTTATGGAAGAACAAGATACATTTATAATGGTTTAAGCAAGTTTACTACCACTTCAAAATCATTTTCCGTTTTGGTAACTGAAAATTATTCTTTTTTCATGAACGCCATAATTGATCTGGAATAGGGGCTTAGCTATAATTTTGACCTCCTAACTGGTAAGATTATTTATGATGGTAAGACTAACTGGTAAGATAACTGGTCAGAATGTTAAAATTTGCTAGAATGCAGGAAAGACGTACAAATAGCTAAAAAATCGGGGTAGATGTTATCTTGGGTGATGGGGAGGAGGGGGGGCAGGCATTGGAGTAAAAAACATTAGAAAATAAGCATTTATAGATTGATCATATGATGTCCTTGTATCCATGAAGGTTTTTGAACAAAACTATTTGATGTCAATATAAGTCAGAACCCTGAGAACAAATCAATTGCGAAAAACATAAAAGAAAGTTTGCTTCAATCATTAAAAATAATTTGATGAATACAAAAGAAAAAAGCGCTTTTTGCAAAAGGGTTTATTTTAAAGATTGTCTATTAAAAAACTTGAAAATATCCTACGACCGCCCGGTCACATGGTCGGGTGGGTTTTCATGCCCTGGCAAATGCTAAGGAGTAGCCTTTTCCATTGTCATGTTCTATGGAAGGCTATTACACAGATGTTTCGTTAATTACAGTTTCTAATCTTATTTAATCTTATTCCAGGGAGAAAAAGGAGAGGCAGGGCGACTAGGTTCCCCTGGGGCAGCAGGTCCAATTGTAAGTGAATTTTTTACAAGGTGCACTTTCTTTGGTTATTGTATTTTTAATCATATAGGTGTTTTTGGTATTTTACTTTTATCGGCTACTAAATAAAGGATGGACAGAAATTGGATAGTTGGACTGAGTAATGTGTATCTTTAGGATTCTTGCGATGATAACATTCTTGCATTTGAAACTTAACTCAAAACTATCAAAATTTCTAATATGAAATCTTTTTGAAAGTTTTTATCTGTTTGTTCGCGACATGTAACATGTAACAAATCCTTCTTCCTTGTTTTTTACCTTAGATTTAATTGTTGTTTCGTTGTATGCTCTTTTGTATGTTGTGGCTCATTGTGTCATTTCCTTTCCTCTAGGGGAATGCTGGCGAAAAAGGAAGGCGTGGAGCAATTGGAGAGATAGGAGAAATTGTACGTTTATTTTGCAGTGCTGTCGTCATTTTTTCTTTTGTTGGCATGTTCTTAACTGCTTCTGCGTAATCAAAATGAAATAATAATCTGCCTTTTGATTGTTCAGTTTTATGGCCTATACGATTTTTGCATTCCCTACTTAAGCGCTAAACTTTGATGTTTTTTTCACAGGGAGAGCAAGGACCCAAAGGACCCCAAGGACCTTCTGGACCACCAGGTCCAACGGTACGCTTTTTCTACTTTGATATGCTTTGTAAAAAGTTTTATGCTCTTTAGATTTCGATTAATTTAAATAACTAAATGGTATGTAAGTAACCTGCCGAATTGTTCTCTAGGGACCATCAGGACCTCCTGGACCTACTGGGCCCTCAGGCAAGGATGGTAAACGGGTATGCAATATTTTCTCGCTTAAAATTTTCTACCTTAAAATTTTCTACGAAGTCCTTTGTTTTGATGAAAAAAGTTGTTAACTTAATACGTTGCATGGCTGTTAAATTTATTTGTGTATATATTGACCAACTAAGTTCAGGCTTTACCAGGAAAGGAGCTCGATCGAGAGCGATTGCCTGAAGCACATCTCAAAATAGCCATTGAGAGCAATTTAATCTTCTGATATGACCACAATATTATGATTTATAATATTTGCATAAGAGTTAATTCTTTAGACTCTGCCGATTGCACATCAAGTGTTGCTTTAAAAGCTGCGTCAGTAAGCGGGGCTTACTATGAATGGAACTTGATTGAACAATTTTATGTATTTGGGTCTGAATTGTGTTGACAGTAATCAGTAGTGTGAGTGGATTGACTTCAAGCCTGATCAACCGTACACATATTATTTTGATGGCATTTTATACCTGGTTTCATTCAGACTATTAAGGCTACACGAATACTTTTAAGATAAAAAGTTTATTTTTTATGCTTTTAAGCTAACCATCTACATGAGAAGTGCAAATTTGTGACCGAAAACAGAAATATTTGGAAATGTCTTCGGGAGTGAAATCTTTTGAAAACGCATTGTAGAAGCAAACCGTTTGATTTTTGTATTCACTAAATAAGAATTTTAGAAGAATCTGAGTATCTTTTGAGGGTATAAATTTTTGAATTTTTTTTATCTGATACTTTGGTGTACATGGTGAATTTTTATTTAACAATCCTTCCAAAGAGTCTTTCAAGGAAGTTTTATTTAGAGGTGTGAAAAAGAGTGCCTTGAGTTTCTTAGAAGCTCATTTTAATTGGAAAGTACCTTCGTTTCGCTTAGAGCAAGGCCTGCAGTTAGGTCGATTTAGGTCAGCTATGCTCAGTTTTTTATTGTTTACACAAGTAGCCTTGCAAATATACATTAACTGGATTTCTTTCTCGTCAAGGGACCACGCGGAGACACTGGAGAACCTGGTGACAGAGGGCCACAGGGAACTGAGGTTAGTATTATTGCATACCTTCCTTAGGTCAAATTATTATTTAATAGGATAAATAGAGAATGTATTTAAAGTTTAAACGGAAAATAGATATAACAGATGTTAACAGCACTATTGTTATGTTATACACCAGGGTGCTGCTGGAAAGGATGGCAAACCTGGAAACCCCGGAGTTCCTGGAAAAGCTGTAAGTAGTTTCCTGTTTAAAACACCTTTCCGCGCGACGATCAAGCAAACATAATTTCTGTGCTAAACAATTTTATTGTTTACTGCTCGGGCATGCGCCATGCATAGTAATTTGAAGCGATTAAAACGTGTCACATTATCTCAGAACTAGCCGCATCTGCGTTTGCACTAGTATGCGCAGTTGACAATTTTTCGTTATTTTTCCGTAGGGATTATAAATAATGGAAATTGACATTTCAATCGACATTGACATTTGCTGAACATTACGGTTAATTTGTTGTTATGATTAATCAACATCACTTAATCGGTTCTGTTATTTCAGGGTGCCGTTGGAGCAGCAGGACCAAGAGGGCCAGCAGGCAACAGAGGACCTGCGGTAAGTAGGTTTAGGTGCTTTGTGCATTGCGTGAGGTTTAGGTGATTTTTGTCAAATTCTGTAGCATATTTATCTAGGAATTTTTCACCATAAAAGCATTGAAAATATTTCTTAATGTTTCTAATGAAAATGCTGCTAGTATTCCTTCATTTTTATCCTTTTGCCTATCTCATTTTTTTGAGAATTGTTTTCGGTAATCTTTTATTTTTTATGGATCTAGGGTATGGCAGGTCTCCCAGGCTTGACAGGACAGGGAGGACCAGTTGGTGCTAAGGTAAATTTACATCTGCTTCAAAAAACATTCAAGTTAATTTATGCATGTTTTAAAATTTGTGTATATTTGTTTATTTATGAATGTTTACAGGAGTATATTGAAGAAAATGTCTTATATTCATAAATTGTGCAAACAGTAAGGCTAACATTGAGAAATAGCTTAACCATGGACTAGAAATGGTTTACTAGAAATTCCCCCTTAGTTCGATGCCTAACCCTTTGCACCAACGCTAAGATGACTACGGCAATGTTTTTTATATTTGGTCATGACATTTGGCTTTAGACTGGAATGTTAGTTGATTTTGCTAATATTTTCAGTGTCGCATATTTTTAGATGATGGCCGTTTCGATTAATCAAATAGTGACAGTCTGATGCAAAGTGATTTGAATTGATTTTTTTCTCAAGGGCTACCCAGGCCTTAACGGTAGAGATGGAAGCAATGGTAAAGAGGGACCACAAGGCAGAACTGGGCCACAGGGACCTGCAGGGGCAATTGGAGATCCAGGATCATCGGTGTGTATAAACACCTTTTGGAATTTTTTTCTCAATTTCTTTGCATCTTTTATCGAGTTTTATATATATACGATTTTTCACGGATTTTGCTATGAATACCATCTTGTTAAATTTTTGTTGAAAAGGATAATGACTTGATGATTAAATATGTGTATAATCGACTATGTATATGTTTTTTTAAGGGTAACGATGGAGTTGCTGGAACATCGGGACTGCCTGGCGTAGATGGCAGACTGGTTAGTTATTCTCGTTCAGCTGTGTTATATAAAGCTCAAATTCTGTTGAAGATCTTTCGTATTTAAGCTACAAAAGTTTATTCAGATCATCGATTTATCTCGATGCCAATGGAAGGTTATTTTTGTTTAGGCGAATTTTTTGAGCAACCCTTTTGAAATTTGTAATCGATGAACCTTTTGCAGGGTGAAAAAGGCAACAGAGGTAACCCTGGGACTCCTGGAGCGCCTGGAGATGAAGGAAGACCTGGTGCCCCAGGTGCCAAAGGAAATGCTGGTGAATCTGGATATGTTGTAAGTAAAACTATTTGAATTTTACTAATCGAATTTGAATTTTAAGTATGATTACCTGCAAGAGAGTGTACTTTTTTATCATTTGCACGCTAACCTTTCCTTTATGTCGTGCTTAAAAATTTTGAAATTTCTATTGGCTTTTGAAGTTTCAAATTAACTAGAGGTTGCATGAACTAGTTATTGAATACTTGTAGACAGTTAACATATTCGATTGTTTCGTGTCATTTAAAGAGGTATCAACCCAAAATCCCCCTCCCCCCAAAATTCGGTCATAATAAGCGGGAACCAGAGTGCTGCTGAAAAGTACACTCGCGTGCTCTTTATCCCATTTTTGTTGCGAGAAACAAGCGAGAGAAACTAGCGCGATTGACTTTTTAATAAACTGGTATTTTTACGGTCCGATTGCCATAGAACAAATTATCGGTTGATCATGTGATAACCGAAAAGAGTCGTGAAAGTTGTCGGCCAACACGCAGTTCGTTTTTATGATAGATACTTCTCAAAGATCTTTAGAGAATGCCTTAAGTAAAAAGGTATAAGAAGAAGAATTGAATCAGTTCAAGATCAAGTCTCGAACCGCTCCCAACCGGCCCCTTCTAGGTCTTCTAGGTAATCAACTCAACACTTTCACGTTACAAGATTAACATTTTGTTATTCAAACCTATGATGCAATTATGTTACTCGCTAACCTTACTCCCGGCTTCTACCCCCTGACGACGTCGCCGATATCGTTGCTTGCAGTCACTTGCATCCTTGCTTCCTTCTAAAATTCTTTCCCTAAAATTCGATCCCCGTTCTGTATTTCAGATAATGTTGAGTCTTTTTGTGATTGTTTTCCTTTTTTAACATGTCACATGTAGATAACGTTTTTAACATTAGCAATGAAAGTTTTTCAATTAGGAGAAAGAGGGCAACCCGGACTTGCTACTAGTTTCAGAAGTAGTCAATAAACTAGAGATTGCCCACTCAAAGAAAATTTGCTTTCAATTTTTTTTCTCTTTATAAAGGGACAATCAGGAGACAGGGGACAACCCGGTAGGAAGGGAGAATTTGGTGAAACTGTGAGTATGATTTGCAACCTATGATTTGCAACCAGAATTTGAGCTATAATCCAATTTGAAGATAGTGATCGGAATTGAAAAATATCAAATTATATCAAAGGCTACTCAGAAGCTTTTTATGTTTGTAAACATTTTTTATATCTATGTTTTATGCACTTTTGACTTGACCAATTAAATTTGTATTAATTCAGTGTGATATAATTAATACCAGCACAAAATTGCAATTAAGACCTAAGATGCCATTTCATTCAGAACGTTTTTTTGCAATAACTTCTATAAAGCAAAGAGTTGAAAACGTCATTTGAATTCAAACTAATCACTAAGCTATGAGCGGGTGTTAGATTTTTTTGCTATTTAATCTCCGATATTTCTTTTCTAGGGTGTAGCAGGAGGTCCAGGTGATGCTGGTGCTGAAGGAACTGCAGGAAGAAAGGTCGGTCAAATTCATATGTCATGTGACAGTAAACGATCAGTTAGGATTTGTTCAATGAACTCTATGCCTCCAGAAAGTTTTTTCAATTCCTCCCATCACAGACTATTCTTGACTTTTCTAGGGACTTAAAGGCAACCAGGGTGCAACCGGTATTCCTGGCGGTCCTGGAGACGTGGTATGTAAACATAACTAATTTAATGAAGAATTCTTCCCTGGATGCTTTTCTGCATTGACATTGAAATCGCTTCTAATTCCTTTGAAAATTTTTTATTGATGTGTATGGTATTTTTAGAGAAAGTTATTTATTGTAATTGATAAATATCTAAATCACTTCCTGCATTGATTTCGTGATAGAATGCATTTCCCAAAGGACATTTTCGTTGTATCTGAAACAGACAATATTTGGTTTGAAGGTCCCTACGAACCACTCATAGAATTGCGTCTTTTTCTTGATTTTTACCAACCATTTTCAATTTTACATATTTCGTCCCTCTAAGAAGATTGTGTTTTTGTAAGAATGTTTCCCCTTTTTACTTCAGTTGTCTGTGATGTCTTTCCTCAACTCCTAGGGTGATAAAGGCAACAAAGGATATCAAGGTGTACAAGGTCCACCTGGACTCTCTGTAAGTACTGCCTGGTGCTTTTTTATTGTTAACGAAGTCGTGCCTGTAAATATTTGTATTTAGCAAAGTATTAACATTCTTGACGCTTTGAGCTTCATAGTAAATAATTGATCTTACATCTGGTCTGAATTTTTCAATTTTTCAGGGTGCTCGTGGCAACGCTGGTCCTGATGGCCCAGCAGGACGAAGGGGACCAAGGGTAAATACGTTTCTCACTTCACCCCAATGTTATAGTTCCTGTAGGCTCTGTAAGTAATTCAAGTAGCTTGCTACATACTCAGGCTCTTATTTCATAAGAAAGATTTCTTTTTTAAAAGTCAATTTAAATGTAGCTTTTTATAATTAGCTGATATTTTTCGAATACCACATAACGTGAAGAAAACTGCCGTTAATAAAGGTGAAGCTCTTCTGCCAAGACTTGATTTTAAACTGATCTTTTTTATGTTAGGGAGCATCAGGTTTAGATGGAGCAAAAGGAAATGACGTTAGTACTTGATTTTGAAGTTTCCTTTTAAATTCCATTTTTCTCTATTTGAAACAACATTTGTCGTGGCTATGCTAACGAATCAGTTGAGATTTCTCTAGCTATTGAAATCATTTTTTTGGTACATTTTTTTCAACTGGGGACTCATTTTCAGCTAAGTTAACTGAGAGCCGTCCGCGAGCCGAGATCGAACCCTGAGTGTTTGCATGGCAATCGAGCGCCTTAACCACTCAGCTACCGCGGCACCTGAAATATCATTACTGTCCCCGTAACATTCTCGATACATTGTTTGTTTAATTTGTTTGGTTTTCCTAAAGGAACATTAAACTTTTCCAAAGTTTTTAAAGTATATCATAGTACATAGGATAAGGTATTTCTTTAGATGGTTGATGAACTACTTTTGTTAAAAATAGACCGCATGAAATTTATCAAATTTGCAAAAATAAACCACATGAAATTTATCAAATTTGCAACTCAAGGTAATTATGTTTTGAGAGTTACTAAATATGGTGTCATTCTAAAAACAATTATCTTCTTTTTCATTTTAGGGTCCTTACGGCGAACCCGTAAGTAACAGATAATCAACATTTTTAATGAACCATTTTTAAATATAATTTGGTATCTTTTGTTCACGATATAGCAGCGAAGATTGAAGATTTTTCTACCGTGCCTTTCATGAATATCCATAATATGTTCACTGTTTATAAAAGTTCAAGATTTTTATGAAGAACTAGTTATTTTTAATTTCGTGCAAATTCCCATCAAGATAGGTATGGAGTTTTCAAATTACTCATTTATAATTTTGATATCAATTGATCCTTGAGTAGATTTGAAAGCTCATTTTTCTGCAATGAGCAATGTGCTGGTAAATCAAATTTTACTTAAATATGTGAATAGCTTAATTTTCGTGGCATTTTTTGAGCAAAATTATAATGCACAGTTATTTTTAGAATGTTTTATAACATTTATAATTTTTTGTCATAGGGAGAGCACGGAAAACCAGTAAGTACCCTAGTTTATTCATTAAAATGATCGCTAAAATGGAATGAAAATGAATTTCACACTGAATTGTGTGCCGTTAAAGTATTTGATTGCAAGAAGTATGTTGAAAAGATCTGGTAGATTTTGTGGAAAAATTTGTTTCTGTTGAGCAGATATATTGGATTCTGGAGTACTTTTGTATTGTAGCAAGACAGTAATGGGAAACTCTAGAGAAAAGGAGGATCAATCAAATACTTGCCTTTTTTAATAAAATCTATGTTTGAAGGTAGTTGTTAATAAAAATGAATTCTTGAAATCATTTCTTGGGACAATTACATCTTGGGAAAGCTATCTTAATAGGCCATAGACCGGGAAACAATCTAATCATTCAAAGATGATTTTTAAAACGAATAGATAAGAAATAACTAATAGAGAAACTACTATGAAACAGTTCAGTAAAAATTAGCCTAAACGTTTGCGCAGTTCTACGTTTGAGTTAATTGCTTGTACATCCATCAGGTCTTCTTTTACTTTTGTATGAATTCTTTGGTTGATTAAGGTATAGCTGTCCTGCTAAATTTTTGCTCACACGTCCCTTTGTTACGTCAATCGAGCGTACTTAAGTAGCTATTTAATACCGTACAGGACAAAAAGCACTTGGCCCAACTACGAACAGACCATAATTGAATTGCAGCACCCAAACCCTCTTTGTAGGTCAAGAAAAATGTTTGATTTTTTAAGATTGTTTCTTCTTTCTTGATCTTGATATTTGTATTGTTCATTCTTATTTTCAATGTTAAATCTTCAATGGTTAAATATTTTTGTTTAGGGCGCAGCAGGATCACCAGGACCGGCTGGACCACCTGTAAGAATCTTATTTTTGATTTTTTTTTGTGATTTTTATTTGAATTATATGTAGAGATTATTTGGACAGTTTCCTAACTTCTTATCCTTTCTGAAAACATCTACCAACTATTAAACTTTTATAACGTCACTAATTTGTTTTGCAAATGTACATATACGTTTTGATTTAACACGACAATACATCTGCTACATGTTCAAAGTTATATATTCATTTTTCATTTCGTACTATTTCCTTTCAGGGACCGCCCGGAGAGATGATCCCGGTATGTTCCTCTATACCTGCACCTAGTTTCTTACAGTGCTTGATAATTTTGATTGTAAATTTTAATTTTTGACTGTCTACACCCAGTATTTTGCAGCTCACGGTTTTTCCACCATTCAGTAAAATGAAATCCCAATTTTGATAACCTCCTCCTTTAGAATGTTCACTGTCGCTCTTTTGGAAACTTAATCTTATTGGTTTTTTATTTACCTAAGGACTCCCCCGATTCAACTGTCGCCGATTTGTTTTCTTCATTAAACACCAAAAAGCTTATTTTATCTGTAAAACGTTTTTCATAAGCAGTGAAAGATTTCGACATTCCATCATAGATATCAGCTCAAATTGCTGGCTACATGACAGTTGGCGGGCTGCAGAAGGGTCCATCCTACGGTGGCTACCAATATGGTTACAATCAATATAGCGGAAAACTTGTAAGTGTATGATCTTTGATATAACTTTCTTTCTAATCCTTTCTTTTCCGCTTAGATATTCGGCCTTGAAGTTAAAACTTTAAGTACTGCATCCCCTAGGATAACATATTAAGGTAAACCATTTGTTGAATTTAATGACTCTCACTAAACTAATTAAATACTTAGATTCTTTTCCGTATGATCAGAGCGGAAATTTCTCATATAGTACAGTAAAAGCTGGCAAGTAATAACCAAATAGTCTAAGGCAATCTCTTGTTTGTTCTTAATAAGAGAGCGTGGGCTGCAAAAAAAGAGTTACTGGCTCTTAATCAGGTTCTTGGTTATGATGGGTCAAGGCCATAGTTGTGTTACACATCCTTTATATGGAGGACGTTTCCCTTCTGAATAAATACCTGTCCGATATGAAATAAATATTAGATTTAGATGCATAATTTCCCAAGGGCCAGTATCCTCTATTTATTGGTTTTATCAATAAGATTTAAATTTTAAAAAAATCGAACTCATCAAATTCACAAGACATTAAACAGCAGAATGCCAATCAAGACCCAACCATTTTCTATAATTTTCTATTTAGTTTTTTATTTGCAGAAGCATTTTTATATAAAGCATGCCTTGGTTGCTTATGTTGTTTGCATTTTTCCTTTACTTTCAGCAATTCAAGCTTTAAATACAATAATGGGAAGCATATGTCCGTTAATGTTCACCTTCGTCTTTCTGAAAAAATACCTCCATATGCACTTAAAGAAGGATAGTTCTAATTTAACTTCATGAAACACAGCAACTTGCTTGAGAATGACTCGCAATAGATATATTTAGATTTGAGTACATAGATAAAATGAATTGGTGAATAAATTGACAGCTGAACATGGTTAAAGCGTCAGAAAGGATATTTTTCAACGCTTAGCCGGCTGAGCTATGTATCCGCATCAGACTCAGCGCAATTTGTTTCCTTAGTAAGATGAAACAGCTCTGAACACCATCCTCCCTTTGACAGCTCGCCAATAATAACGTAATAGTTTATCGTCGTGAATTTTACAAGTGTAAAGAAAACACAATGACCATTAAACGCGCAGGTCTTATTAGATATTAAAAGACAAACCAAGTTTATTAAATCTATTATCTGGTTCCATTGCTGGTAGTACAGGATGGAATGGTATTTCAATATTACAAATTATGGGAAATGTGAGGCGATGCTAGTACGTAGTAATTTTTAACCCATGGCAAGACAACATCATTGCAATTATTTGAATATTTTTAACTCTTGATGCTACTTCAAAGTGGCTTTTGTGTCGTCAATTGAAACATGCTAAGGATTCCATATTAAATAATCTATATATATCCTTCTAAATTAGGGATCCGAAGAAGAAAAAGTTGTCAACAAGGTATGTTTCATATTTGTTGATGTTCTAAATTATACTTTTATCATAGTTTGAAGGACGAGGTATTCTTTTGTGCAAGCATAGAGTTTTCAGTCTGTGTTCTGACGTTCTATACTCTGAAGAGTGTCAGACAAAAAGTTTTAGTATACTCAAATGTTTGCTTTTTTTAAAGCCATTTTTAACTGTTGTACCACCAAAAGATTGTTTAGATAATGTTTTGTATATTTTTTTGTATAGGGTGTGAAATCTTTCAATGACTACATAACCCTTTTGAAACACATAGAGGAAACAAAATCATTCAGCGGAACTCAAAGTGATCCTGCTCGAACCTGTAAAGATCTTTTCATGCGTTTTCCTAACAAGAAAAGTGGTGAGTAGCTCATGCTATTTCTGTTTGTTGTGTTCTAACCACACCCAATGTCATGAAAACTGCAGCCATGGTTTAATGTTTACTGGTCCTGGGTCTGTTATAATTTCAGCAAAATATTATATTGTCAATGTTATATACTGCTTTTGGAGCTTGTATATCTGTTTCTCGCTCTGCATCATTCATCTAGCCACAAGGTGAAACCTGGAACAAATTTTGTCAGTACGTCGGAACGAATCAACTTTGTGCCAGTATACTGGGTTTAATATAAGCAACCGTCAATTTGCCTTGCGACAGTTACTGTTTCAAGTAATTTTGACTGAAGATTGAAAAGTTTTCTCATTATCTGTAATTGTTTGTTTGTCAGTTTGTTTGATACTACTGATTTCTCAGTTTATGTTTGTTTGGGATTTTTCAGGTGACTACTGGGTCGATCCAAACGAAGGATCAAGTGTTGACAAAGTCCTTGTTTTCTGTGATAGGAACACAAGCGAGACCTGTGTTTATCCTAAGCAACCGACGGTATGTTAAATATTTTTTTAAATGTAATCAAACTCGATCTTATTCGCTGAAACGTATCTATTGGGTTTTCATTTTGATTTCGTATGTCAGAAGGGTACGTTTGTGTCATTGCAATTACCGGTTTTATAGATTGATAAAGATCAGTGGCAAACTGGAGGTGACAAGTACAAGTGGGTCATGCAACATTTGATGGGAGAAATTGAAGGAGTGAGTGTTTTTTGTTGTTCCCTCAGATTGCTTGCTGTTGTTGCTTCATATACTTTTGTTGTAAGGAAGCAAAGCAATATGTAGAAACAATTTTTTGAATTATCCACAAACGAAGCTCCTAAATTGTCTCAAAGCGCTGATGCTTTTTCAAATATATATATATATAGCCGCTGTAGGCATCTTCCCTATAAGGATTAAAGGCATCGTGAATATTTTTCATGCATATAACTTTATATAAAGCACAGGGTTTTGTCTGTTTACTTTTATTTAGTTCGTTTTATATTTTCTTTACTTTTAATATTTTTTAACATTTTATTGTATATTGAAATGAGGGCCCCATCAGTAAACCAGACTTTACTGATGGGCAACTCCAAAAGTTGTTGAAAAAATGAAAAAGTGATGTTTTTTTCTATTTTCATATCTTTTTAGGTCCTTTACGCTGCTGAAATACGTCAAATAAAAGTCTTGAAATTGTTCAGTACACGGGCAAGACAATCGGTCAAGTACTTTTGCCAAAACTCTCATGCATGGACAAAAGCAGATGGCAAACTTATCCGAAAAACTCTTAAATTCCTAACAGATAATGAGAAAGAGGTCCATGGACATAGCTTTGATGCAGAAATCACGCCAAAGATCGTTAATGATGGATGCAAGGTACCATTTGATTCAATAACTTTGTTAACTTATGTTTGTAAAATCTCTTCATGTATTCAGATACTACTCCATTACTCTGAATTGATATTGTGTTAAGCCGTGGCATCTGGACATCTGGCGTCTTCCTTTATCGATCTTATTTGGCTTTTTTTCCTTTGAAGGTCAAGGATGGGAAATGGCATGAGACGGTCTTCAACTTTGAGACAAAAAATCTGGACGTGCTCCCAATATTGGATGTTGCTGCTCATGACATTGGTGATGGAAATGAGAAATTTGGTTTGGAAGTGGGACCAATTTGTTTTTCATAGATAGTTAGAACTAGAGACTGCTCGGTTATTTAGGCATACAGTTTCGTGTCTCTTTTATAATATGAGAACGTGGTAGTAATGAAGGTTTAGGGTTTTTGCAAGCTATAATCTTTGCCTTTTGACCTGCCAGCTGTAGAGCTTGACGAAAATTCCAATTTTTTAAAATAGCTCAGGGAATTATGTTTTACAAGTTATCTTATTTTTATCGATTATGCTATTGGGCTTTATGTGTTTATTTGTAGTTCAAATTTGTAAAATGAATTGTTATGCCTTACTTTTCTGACTTTAGATGTGAATGAGATCTTTGCTTCCGGTTCCATGCAAATGAGATCCTTACTTGCAGAGCCTCCTGTCGTTCTGCAAGTTGTTTAGTAGATAGGTACTAGCAACTTCGACTTCCTTGCTTGAATATATGTCCCATTTACCAAAGCAAATTACCATTCCGTTGTATTGTTTTAGATGTTTTTTATTATGCCTAAAATGTTGCATTGCCACATGTTAACTAGCTAACGGTCTTCATACTTCCAAAATTGTTGTAGTTGTAAAAGTGTCTCTTTATCATTTTTTCGATTTATCCGTTGTGGCTCATTTTTCTGAAACGGTTTCAAAGGGCCTTTTCAGAGGTTTGCAAGTTCTATGTCCATGCAGTTGCTGAGCCTGATTTAGTTAGGAAAGAGAGGGTTATTTGACGGAAGGCACACTTTTCGAGAGGATACACAAACTGAATCAAGTACACCAAGCTGAATCAAGTACACCAGGCTGAATCATTTGAAGCTAACTAAACAAGCCCAAGGCAAACAAGTTTTTACTGCACTTACATATATCTGTTATTTTTAAGCTCACTAAGTGCTTTTTCCGTTTTTTTTGTCATCTATTTTCTTTAGTGTAAGATACAATGGCGGATCCAGGAATTTTTCAGAGAGGCGCAAAACTGAGCAATGCTCTGACCCATCCCTTGATGTGCTACGCCATTGGCAAAGCTACCTACGGACCATACCCTTTACACTGATAAGTATACTGAGCTGCTTGAAGAAAAGTAAAATTTCAATTTGTCACTTTCAAGACGACACTATGTAAAAGTTCCATAGTAACTAGTTTCTTCAAAAGGTTCAATCATAACCTTTCAATTGTAAAAACTCAAGCTATTTCCTGATGGTGGGTAATCAGTTAATCACGAGCCAGTGTCTATAAATAGAAATATTATTTGTTCAAGAATTCTAATAGCATAAAGCCCGAAAATAACTTCAAACCTAATAGAATCTCCTAAATTTTTTGGAAAACCTGTTTTGGTTTTGTAGTATGAAGATTATGCAATTGCTGTTAAGCCTTTTGTTTAATCAAAGATGGGAAAATGATTTCATTGTTAATGACTGATACCAAGATATTGTAAATGACATACTGGAATAACTGGACCCTATGACCTTAGAACCTCTATGACCGAAAGGATCATTAATTGCGAAGAACCAAAAAGGACCCTCTACTACTACATGATTTGCCCCTCTTCCAAAGTCATGCTTTTTTGATGCTATCATGTAGACAGATTTGGAAGCATTTCGACTTAGGCTAAAACTCATTAACAACTGTCTGTCTCTCCTTTTAAGGCTAATTTCCACGAGGCGAATTTCGCACCGAATTTGCAACAAATTCGTTTGAAAAGTCTCTTGCTTTCCACGAATCTGCGAATTCACTGCGAAATTATATTGTTATTTTCCCCGAAACTAAACATCAAGGTGGAAATTTTCAGACCAGCGCGCATGGCGAACGTTATAGAATGTTTTCTCATGTTTTGAATGGTTATTAGCTGCTGCAAAATAAGAAGTAGAACTATTTTCTACTTTCCTGCGAATTCGCTGCGTAATCAAATTCAAAACTGCGCATGACTCAATATCTTCACCAGCGATTTCGCTGCGAAATCGAACTTGTGGAAATCAACTTTAGAAAAGCAGAGTAGAAAAGTGTGGAACTTCGTTAATCGAAGACTTGTTTTGGGGTTGCATTAAGGTTTTTCGATATTTTAGTTATTGTTTTGCCCTGAATGCCAGTGCTCTGCTCTCTTAACCCCGGTCTGACATGCTCCGTTTTCTCATGCATTTTATTTTTTGGAGGAAAGGTAAATGTGAAACAACTTGTTTTGCTTCTCTAATTTGGACCGAGGCCTCCCCACTTTTCTGGAGAAAGAGCAAAAAAAGATTTAGGCCAAAGAGGATATTACTGTTGTCTACCATTCTGCTTTAAGATATTTCAAAGACTAAGAAATGGGGGTTTTATTGAAAAAGTCAAATCATTATCTAATAGTTTGGTCAATTAAGCCAAAACCTTGCAACAACCGTGCACTTTTTCAGAGATAAAATTTTTTTGAATGTCTTTCTATATCATTTTTTAAAAAAAGATGAAATAAAAGGAGAACAAACTTTTTATATACTGCTTGATTTTATTTGATCTATTTACTAACTTATTGGGGTATAATTTATATAATTGTCTATTATTTGCACCATTTCAGTAGATAACTTTTGCATCATTGCAATGTCTGCATTGTAGATGTGTTAACATGGCCTACTGAAAATAATCGAGACAAAGTAGATGCACATTTCTGTTCAGGAATTAAAATTTTCTCAATCAATACAACAGCTTCTTGTTATTCACATCGATGTGCACTTTGAACTAAAGGTCGCCCTTCCTTTCTTACCTCAACCTCTGTCACTAAAGCTATGAGTTAACGTGAGATAATTTTGAGTTAAACTGAAAATTAACTCATTGTCTAAATTCAAGTTAACTTGAGATAGTGTGAAATACCATGAGATAACCCAAGCTAACTCGAAATCAACACATGTACCGATTCGTTTTCCTCTTGAGATAGAATTAAGTATGGAATTACCAGAAATCACGTTTTATTTGAGTCTTGCAGCTATGGGGGGCGTCTTGCAAGAGCAACTTATTTTACTTCTGCTTTTGAGAATACGTGTAAGGAAATGTTTTCTTTGCTAGAAATGTTTTCTTTGTTCGCGATCTGCGCCAAGGTTTTCGGTACGGAAAGTCTACCAAAAAAAGAAATGCGTTTGGTGGATACAACCACTTGGGAAAGGAACTTCGAAATGAGAACATGTTTCACTCATTTCACAATTGATTTTTCATTGTGTAAAGAAAACTGTTTTCAACAACTAAAGTAATGCTCAGTGCAACTGCGTTGCGTAAGAACCTCAATAGTAGCACATTGCTCTCCTACGCATCGGCTTCTTTTGATAAGATGTTATTAGGCCGTAAGCTGTGTCAGATTTTTATTTGGTCTCGCTGCCCTCATTCCGGCACTACGTTTAATAAGCATTTTCCTGTGTGTTTTTTCGTGCTGATTACGAATCTTTTTGTTGTCAACTGTAAAAACCTGCAATTCTCTTGGAATTCAACTTCAAACTTCACTATTCCCGCGCTTAAGGTGTATAACATGGAATGCCGAAAGCCGATGCTGCTTAATTATTCTCGGCCCTATCTCACAGTCCGGGTAATACCTAAGTACCAATTGCTTTAAAATAAACATGGCGGTCGGCTAAACAAATGGATCGTTTTTTGATACATTCTTGACATTCTTGCTTTCCAGTAGCGGCACCAAGGGGTAGTATGGACGGTTATCCCCCCCCCATCCCCTCTTGCAAAACATTGTCCAGATATTCTCCTAAAATTGATGAAAAATGCACTGGGTAGGGGCAGGTCATATTTTTCAAAATTTGTCTATGAAAATGCATCTGGCATAAAAAACAATTAAAATGAGACAGTAAAGGCGTAGTCTCCTGGGTCAGGCCCATTACCCTCCCACTCTGCTACAGCTGGTGCCACCACTGTTTTATTCTTAACGCGTTTATAAAGCTTAAATAGCTGAAATGTTTTTCATAAAATTATTGATTTCAACCTGATTTAAGAAAGTAAAGTACAAAAATCATAAAGGGATGACGTCATTAACTATTCAAAACCTGTATACGAGATTACAGGGCCGCAGAGATAATTTATGGGCCCCGGGTCAGGACAAAAATTAAATTATAAGGCATGCCTAAGGCAGACGCTTCTAGGAGGTATGGGGAATGCTCCCCAGAAATTTCTGAAAATTATGGTTGCTTAAACTGCTAGGGTGGCTATTATGGTTGCTAAAATTGTCATGGTGGCTAAACTGCGCCGGTGGCAATGGTGTAGATAGAGGGGGCCAGAGAGAGCAAAAACACTACTATACTACTATATTGTCGGAAAACCTCTGCTCTTTTCAAAAATCTAACATGATTCTAAGTTTATCTAAATGCTATGTTTTGATGGAAAAAATTTGAATCTAAATAAACATAAGAATATTCAATATATCAAATGATCTTTTTTCAGTTCTGATATCGTTATGTTAAGTTGAAATTTATGTGAAAGATATAGAAGCTTGTTAAATTTTTGTCGGAAAATCCATGGTTCTCACCCCTCCTGTGAATTAGAAAGAAATAGAAAATAACAGGTACAAGATGATACGTTTAAATAACTGAGAATAAAAAACAAGTGGGTTATCGGCACAAGATTTAGGGATATGCGAACGCCATAGTGTAAATCTGTATGACATACATATTGCCCTGTATGTTACCCTGCAATCACATTTCGTAACATTCAGAAGCTTTTGAACTAGCCAACAAAGATGAGAAATTCTTAACAAAAATTTCTTCACGACTTCATGGACCTTTGTCATTATTGTCTCTAATATTATGTTTTGTTAATGTTGATGAGGAGGATGGATTATAACTTAGAAATTTTGTTCAATTGAGTTATTATTTATGGGCCCCCGGGTCAGTGACCCCCCTGACCCCCCTCTCCTCAGCACTGTACGAGAATAACCCGTACAGTATGAACAAGCTTACTCGCATTTGCCAACTGTAAGCTCGTTCATGCTGCTAACTATGGTGTTAACTACAAAAACAGATGGTTTTGACCATAATACATGATGATGTTGTGATGACGTCATCAACCGTTAAAAGGCATCTTCTCAGACACGAAGCGTTTGACAACGCTCTAAGTTGCACGTTTGTATACTAACTTAAAGTGATCTAGCTGGTGAGGGAAGTTTCTGTGTCAAGAAATGTTTTTTAAATAATTTGACTGTATTGATGACGTCATAAAACCTAGAAATTATTGACCCCCGTATCTCACGAGTTGCATGTTTGTCAGAGTGACAACAACTGATTTTATATTAAGTAACACATTATAAACAAGAAAAACAGTCGTGAAGTTGTGCCCGGATGCGGGCAACGAAAATTGATTTTG